AATAGGTATTTGGCACCAAAGGAAAGGGGGTCGGATGACCAGGTCAGCAATCTAAGCAGCGCCATTTCTGACAAAACTGCCCGATTAAAATCCCACTTGTTGGCAAATGTTACTCACAGGACACCTCGCAGTGACAGGCCCTGCTGTAGACACCGGTGACAGTGTGACGCTACCAAGGGACTCGATCTGGGGGGAGGCACAGAGTGCAGACGCACGCAGTGACAGACACACAGAAAGCACAAGCAGGGCACAGAGAGGACGCTCACCCGCGTCTGACGAAGGGGGGCCGAGCTGCGGCCAAAGGCGGCTGCGCTGGCCCTTTGAAACAGGACATGTTGGAAACAGAAGGACCGGCCCGCGCGGAGGTCCTGAGGAGCACACCACACAGCCCCGCCCGCTGGGATGCCCGAGAATCTTCATTATGTGAGCATCCCGTCCATCGGCGGGGGTGGACGGGAAGTGGTGGGGGGACTGGTATGAGATGTGCCTTTGACAGTCAGTCAGGAAGGGGTTACATCACACAGGACATTAGACTTTATCCTGTGGACGAAGTTTAAGCAGAAGAATGGCACAATCGTTTAGGATTCAGAAAGCTTCCTTTGGTAACAGAAGATGGATTAAAATGACGTTATACCAGAAAATGAGACTAGTTAGAAAGGCTTTAATGCTGTGCAAACAGATAATGAGGACTTGAACTTGAGAAAGTGCAGTGGAAATGAGAATCAGGTAACCAAGGAATCCCCAACAAAAAGAACGTGGCAGCCACCGCAGGCCCCCAGCTACCAGCCATGTCCAACTGCCTGCCCTCCCCCCTTCCTGGCTAGAGAGCTGGCGGGGCTGGACAGCTTCTCTCCCAGCTCCATTGCAGTCACCTGCGGGACACCTGTGGCCAGTCCCTTGGAAAAGGAGGTGGCTCTGGCAAAGTCTTTTCTTTCTAGCCAGAGAGAGGTGCATGTGGAGAAAGGCCCTCCTCACCTGTCTTCCTTCATGTCCTGCTGAGTGAGGACACTGTATTTGGTGCTATGACAGTCATTTTACAACGCCGAGGACACAACCAAGAACAAAAGCCAACGTGCAGAGAGAGCAGAGCAGAAGGATGCAGAGTCCTGGCGCCCAATAACCCAGCTGCGCTGCTGAACCAGCGTGGGCCTGTTTATCTGAGGACTTGTGTACCTTTCAGTCTCAGCCACGGACTTGAAGCTCTGTTATCTCAGAAGGAACCAACCCAACCAAACCAAAGGGGCGGGGCTGACAACTTAACTGCTGTGAAAGTCTGCAGTGAAGAGGAACTCAGTTTCCCTCCCAGGGTTCTGGCTTGGGAAGCTAAGTAAGAGAAGGTGCTAGTTATCCAGGTCAAATTACAAAAGAGAGGTTGGGGGGCAAGGAGGGCTGATGGATGGCATAAAGGGGAAGAGTCTGAGGTGGGGAAGGAGGAAAGGGAGAAAGTCTGTTGCTGGACATATTGCTTTAGAGATGTCACGGAGTCACTGAGGTGAAGAGTACATTCAGATGAGTCTGGAACACATCAGGAAGTCTGACTTAGTCCTGCTGATGTATGGGAAGTGGGATCCCGGCACGTCTGCATGACCTCACATCCTCCTGGAAGATTCTAATGGAGATTGGGGGGGGGGGGGGGTGTCAAAAGAATGGAGTCCAGATCAAAATTACCTTATCTGAAGAGTTCTAGAAGATGTTTCTTTTTTTACTAAGACTCTTGTCTCTGAAGATGTACAAATACTATTTAAAAATAGAAAAAAGAAATTTTATAGAATGAATCTACAAACACTGCACTACCATATATTTTTACTTTATAAAAACTCATTAGTGGCCAAGATAACCTGAAAAGCACACAATCTGGAACTATGACAAAAGTCCCGGTGCTGGAGTGACTACACCAGAGACTGTCCTAGCAACTGAAATGAATATGAATCACTTGCTTTACTATGTAGGCCAGTCAATTAGGAATATGTGAATAACCTCATTCCCAAGACTCAGAAAATAACTCCAGGGCATGTTTTATTGGTGGCAGATTACCCGAAGTACAAAGAGAAACATAATCACTGAGAAGGTGGCAAGCAATAATTTAGCAGCGCGACGGAAGATTAGGTAACCTTACGAGGATTGTACTATTCCTCCATGAGAAGTTAATACAGGTGACCCCGATACAATGATTCTGAGTGTGTGGCAGAGTTACAGGAGAGAAGGAGAGATCAGCGGCTCCTGATCAGCAAACAGGAGCAGGCGACAGTCTCACAGACAGGAGGCACAAGGGTGCTGGCCAGAGGTCCCTCTAAACAGTGATTATTAGCGCAGGTTTACAACGCTGGGACTAGACAGACAACTGACGTGCGAGGCGGTGCAGGTGGCAGCAATTCCCATCAAAGGCATCTACGAGGCACAGGCAGTACTACCAAAGATAAAAGGAGTATGCCCTTGACATCAAGCAAAATGTTTCAAAAACCAATACTGACTTGCGCAAAATGAGTGTAACAGATACAAATTTGTACCTCAACCCACTGGTCTTAATTCTAAAATGCAACTCTCACCATGCAGCTCCACAGAAACTTTGAGTGGGTCCCCCTGGTTCACAGACCACCCCCCCAAGCCCTTCATTCCAGCCCCCCTAAAAAAACTTCTCATCCAGCTTTCAGTTTCGTCTCTTTTCAGGCATCCCGCTCTCTAGCTATTCTGGACCAGCTGGTATTTCCCCAAGCCAACCTGTGTTTTCCTGCTCCTGCCGTTCGGTCCAGCTGACAGTTCTCTGCCTGTGGAGCTCCCACCAGAGTTCCCGTCTCACCTTCCAGCATTTCCTGATCCCCCGGCCTCACGGAGTCCCCTTCTTACCATCCTGCTCTGCTCTTACCCAAACCATGCTATTCTCTTCTGAATTGTTACTACTCCTGGACCTCTCCTACGCTATTCTAAGCCTCTTAAAGAAGAAAGGATAATCAATTCATTTGTGTGACTTCTACAGGGTTGTAATTAAATAGATAATTGTAGGTTCCTGAATTAGTGACCTAAGACAATCATAAACCAAAGCCCTCCAAAAAACATACAAAGCCAAGTTTATCAGAAGTCTAATAATTCAACTATTTTGGTCATATGCTTCTTTTTCTCCTCTTGAGAGGAAAAAGCAATATGTAAGAAATAAAAATGAGAACACTCAGTAGAGAAAATAATGAATCACAGGGTGTGGATTCCAGACCCTTCCTATTTATAGTTATCTGGGCAGGTTTAACTGACCCCTTCCTCTACCAGCTTCCTCTGTAACTACCTCTTTATGAAAGGGACATGAGAAACAAGATCTTTGTTCATGAATTAATCTGTTCGCATCTCTCAGAACACTCCTCCCTTTAAACTACACTGGTTTCCTATCTCTCATTTTGCACACCTTACTACAATCAGCGATGATTTCCGTGATTCACCCAAGGTGTGAAGAAGCCTACCATACGCCGAAGAACGCATTTTTGGTTTAATTAAAAAACCCAAACTACTCCCTTCCTCTATGTTCACGGATTTCGTTTAGGCTATGAAATTCCTGGCCGTTGCATGATTCCACCTGATGGAGGGGTTTACCTCTCTAGAAGACAGGGCATGCTCAAGAGCAGAATGAAGTTTCAGGGACACTTTGTGATAGTCTCGAATAAACAAGAAACCAAGTTCAGATCACTGAGTTGGGGGATAAAAAATAGTAAAAGGTCAATCAAAAGTCTTGAAATATAGAGCACAAAAAGTTTAAATGTAGAGAATTATTCCTTAATCAGTGACACAGGCCAAAGATCTCCAAGAGTCCTATTTTTCTAGGGTCCCTAAACCCTAGTTTTGCTTATTCTTTGTAACTTCAACATGTTTCACTTTTCTCGATGTGTTAACTTCCGAGATCTCACATGAACTCACCTCAAATCCTCAGCAGTCTCTCTGCCCTCCTGACATAATTCCCAGGGTATGAGGGGAATTCCTTTCTCCCCAAAATGTCACACAGTAAACTCAGAAACTTATACACAATGCAAGGGAAGAAAAAGTTTAGATCTGTGGATGGGAACCAGGACTTCTGACCTCTGTTCCTTCTGTTCTACATCCTCAAGGCAACACAAGTAATGAAGGGGACTTTTCCATTTGCTAATCCAGTTAACAGAAATTTTAAGAAAACTTAAGAAATTACAAAAGCTAAGTGCCCAAAGCAAACAAACCCAAGCATGCATCTGACTGCAATGCTGATAACGCTCTACCAGGTAGTTCAAGTACAATTATAAGGCAAACCAATCCTTGGACTCATTCTCTGTGCTTCCAAACGCGATGACATAATAAACAAGCCCTGCCCTTCCCTCTCCTGTGGTCACGTCAGATACCTGTTGCATCACCTGGAAAGTGGTCTTCAGAATCTAGGAAAGATCTAAACATAATTCAGCTGGGCTATTTTCTTGATAAATTTTAGCCTCATTTATTGTAATGAGGTTGCCTTGGAGGCAAGGAGGTGCTGGCTACTGTACGCCCTCGAGGAGAAGCTGGCATAGACCTCGACGGTTGGGACTTTCTGGATGTGAAGAGGGGGCTTGTTGAGAGTTTTGGAGACTTGGGCACCAACAGACATGTGTGGTTCCGCAGAAGCAGGGCAGCGCAGGAGCGAGGACCGCGGGCAATCGACAGCGGGGAGTGGGCAGCCTGGGGGTCCCCGGGCGGTGGAAGTGAGACCTGCGACGGAAGCTCTGCGGAAAGGACAGCGCTCGTCGGCCAAGGTGTAGGGCCCAGGGCCGGGGTCCGAGCCAAGCTGGGGGCCCGGGAGAGATTCCAGTCGACCTGGGCCCTGGCCGGAGTCCTCGGACGGACTGGGCAGCACCGCCACGCTCCAGGATTAGAAAATAATAATACTCCCCTCCCCCCCACCCCGGGGAACTAAGCTGGAGGCAACGAGGAGAGGCAGGAAGCGCTGGGGCCGGGGTCCGAGCCAGGCGGCGAGGGGACGCCAGCGCCGGGCCGGGGCCGCCAGGGGCCGCACTCACCATGTCGTACACGTTGAGCACCACTAACTGGTTAGCCCCCATCCTCCCCGCGGCCGCCGCCTCGTCCTCCAGCCGCTCCGTCTCCGCGGGGCCGAGGCCGCTCCCGCCCCCGCGGGCGCTTCAGGGGGCCAGAGCCGGGCACTACGCGCACAGCCCGGCCCGCGGCAGCCGGCGCAGGACCATGGGGAAGCCGGGTCGCCCCGGGGCGCCGCCGACAGGACCCTCCGCGCCGACGGGGCCGACCGCTGGCGGGCCCGCTCGGGCTCAGGCACCTCCCCTAGGCGCTAGACACGTGGGGAAGGGCGGGGCCTGGGCGAGGGGCGGGCGCCGGGCGCCCCGGGGGCGGAGCCACCCCGGCGCCCCTGCCGAGCCCGCCTGCGCTCTGGCTCTGCGCGGCCGCACCTCGGGACCTAAAATGGCGCAGCCGCGGCGTCGCTCCACCTGGGAGGAGCGGGGTTCCCGGGAAACTATAGTTCCCAGCATGCCGCGCGGGTCGCGACCCCCTCGGACCCCTGCCTCCCGGGAGACTACAGTTCCCAGCGGGCAGTGCGTGGCATCTGCGCCACTTTCTGTGCGGTCTGTCCTTGCTCGGTGTAAATTAAAGGCTTTTATCTTCGACCCGTCTTTACTGATGCTGCTGTTACTTTCTGTGGCCTTGGCCCGATGCAGCCGACGAAATGTGGCAAAAGACCATAATAATAATCTGTTTTCCAAATCTCTTCTCACTTTTTTTTTTTTGCGGGGGGGGGCGGAGAAATAGAGGGCGGTGGGTTACTTACTGGTGGTGGGTGGGGTGTAACAGGTATCCACTTAAACCTCAATATGAAATTTTTCATTATAAGAAACTTTCCTGTTGAGATGGGAAAAGTACAGAACTCACAGATTAACATAACCCTAGCACACACAGTTGGTGCTTTTGCATGCATTCAGCAAATATTTGTGTGTCTGCTATGCGCCAGGCAGTGTCCTAGGCCCTGGGGAACACAGCAATAAACAGAAGGGAGGACAAATATTTGTGCTATGTGCTTTGCAGAGGATAGAATAGGATGAACAGATTGAGAGTAATCTTGGAGCGACTGCAGCATAAAGGTCTCTTGACAAGGTGAGGTTTAAGCCGAGAACTGAATGGCAACAACCCAGCCTTACAAATATCAGGGGACAAGTATTCCATTGAAAGGAAACCTCAGAGCTAATTGATGCAACTAATTAGGAAGCCACTCCACAAGTGTATACCAAAAGGCAGCTTAGATATTGGGGGTAGTGGGGGACACAAAATTAGAGATCTTTGAAATACTTTGGAATTAGAGGCTGCAAGATTTGCTAATGGGTTGAGTGTTGAGTTTGTTAGGGGGAGAGAACATTCAAGGATAACTCGTAGATTCGCATCTTAGGAAATCGTGAGAGTGGTGGTGCCATTTATAGTATGGGAAAATTGGGAAAAGAGGTTGGAAGGTGGGAAGTGAAGAGTTATGGTTTGGTCGTGTTAAGTCGAAGACACCTTTTAGATGTTGACGTCAAGTAGGCATTTCGATAAACTGCAAGCCATAGGTCAGATTGGATTATCTAGGGAAAAGTGTAGATTAAACAAACAAACAAAAAAAAAAGGGAGAGAAAATGAAACTGGAAAGGCAGGGGTTTGTGCTGTCACTACCAGAACTGGTAAGTAGAGACAAGCAAGGATTGAATCTTTTGGGACACTTTATTCAGATGGCCAGCCATCTGAGAAGGCGGCAGGTTGTGTACTCTAAAAGCCTTCTTATATTTCATCTCAAGCCGACCTTTTTTATAAGGAGAAGAGGGTAGGTAAGGGGTTTGGAATTCAGGGAAAAGGTTAATCAGATAAAAGTTGCAGTCTGACGATTTTCCTGGCCTCCTTTTATCAGCTGACTGGTGATTCATGATCTGCGTCCTGATCTGCAGATGACGTTCCCTCCCAGAAGCACAATGGCTCAGTAACCATCCTGATCACTTACACCAAGGTCGGATTATTTGCGGGTCTTCTGGAGTCAGTGTAGATCTAGTCATAAATTTCAGATCCCGCAACAAGAGTTTTCTTCAGGCATTAATCACTAAGCCTATTAACTATAACTAAAGCTAAAAATTTCTAACTCTTGAGTTCTCCCATCAAAAGGGGCCAAAGGTAAAGCTCTTGGACCCTTCATTTAGAGGTCAAGTAGAGGAAGAAGAGGGACCATGTGGTAGGAAAACACGGTAACACTATAGCCACAGGACTATTAGACTCAGCAATATGGTGGTTACTGGTAGCCTTAAGATAAGCAGTCTTGGGGGAGGAGTGGAATCCAAAGAACATTGGAGTGGTTTGGGGAGTGAATGTAAGGGGGAAAAATGGAGACTATGACAGCTTAGGGCAAAGAAGGGATAGGCCTGTGTGGTCAGTGGTCATTTTGAAGATGACAGTATTAAGGCGTATGTGTATGTAAAGAGAAAAATTGGGGGCAGGGGAGAAATTGATGATGTAGGAGAGACGGTGAGATTCCCAAGGGCAAGATAAGAAGGGGAAGAGATCCAGTGTACAAGTGGAGCAGTCGGCCCCTAGTAGGAGGGATGCTTCGTCCATAGTGCTAGCACATAAGGTAGATGCAGGTGCACAGCGATGGCGTAACATATACAGATAAATGAAAGCAGGTTAGAAATTTGGGGGTGGGGGAATGAGGGTGTTCTTTTCTGATTTGCTTCGATTTTCTCAATGAATGAGAGACAACACAGTCATTGGAAAGTCAGGGTAGAGGAGGAGTGGAAGGAATTTGGAGAGAGAAGAAGATATGAAGTTGGGAAAACTCTGTTGAGTGACAGTGAGTGCTATGTGCATGATTGTTAATTGTTCTCAGACAGGTTGTGGACAATGTTTTCAAGTTTATTTTAGGTGTACCCTGCTCTGTTTCCCGTCCCCACGGTGGCCTTCCTTTCCACCTGATACAACTGAACAAACGACAGGCGTGGGGGAAGTCACCGTTCATGAACACCCCACTTAGTTCTAGCTACACTGCTTGGCTCCAACCACTGGCTCACTCCACCTCTCACTCTAAGGTCTCCCTTCGCCCTTTCTGATCTCATCTACCCTCTCAGCTGAAACTATCAATGTCTGCTGAAGAGTCTGATGCCCGCATCTCCAACTCCCTTTTCTCCTGACCACTAGGCCGGTGTAACCTGTAGCCTCTTGGACTTCTCTGCCAGATGGATTAGTTTCTTCTTGCTGCTGTAACAAATGGCCACACTTTTAGTGGTTTCAAAGCTATAAAAGACAAGTTATCATACAATTCTGGAAGCCAGAAGTCCAGAGTGGGTCTCCTTAGGGTAAAAATCAAGGACTGTGTTCCTTCTAGGTTCCTTCTAGAGGCTCTAGGCTACAAACTCCTCCCACTGCAGTTTCCAGAGGAGCTCTCATTCTGGGCTCAGGGCCACGGGGCCCAGACCTCGGTTTCCTTCATCTTATCTTCTCTGCTCTCTGCCTCCCTTTTAAGTAAAAGGACCCTTGTAATTACACTGGGCCCACCTGGCTAATCCAGGGTGATGTCCTCTTAAGATCCTTCACTAATGACATCTGTACAGCCTTTTTTTCCCTTGTAGGATAAAATAAAGTAATATAGCTACAGGGTCAGGAATTGGACATGGACATCTCTGAGGAGCTGATGTTCTGCCCACCACAAAGCTGTCCCATGGCCACTTCAAGTTCATCAGGCACAAAATGGAATTCGCTGTCTGATGATGCAATAAATTGTATTACTCATGTAATTTAGGGATTCATCATCCATTCATTGGGCAAGTATTAAATGATACCTTTTATGTAGCCGTTGCTGCGTATCACTAGTACCTCATGATAAAACAGACTTGACTCCTGCCCTTGTGAAGCTTACAAACCAGTGGGAGACAGGAAAAAAAAAAGTACGTATTCATTCATAAATTTATCACTTAAATGGAAGGAGGCAAGGGGGTGTTGAACATAATGGGGGGATTTTTTTAGGGTGATCATCAGGAGGCAGAAACCACACTAGTAAAGTTGACAAAGAAAATATAATACAAAGAATTATAACTTGGGTATAAAACGCCTAAAAAGACGAAGAGGGAACATATCACATGTACATATCTACTCCTACGTAGGTATATCCGTGGTAAGCAAACTTCCATTGTTTTCCTAACTATTCTTTTGTTTTCTTTCCATTTTGTAATTTGGTTCATAAATATAGTGTTTATAAATCCTCATATAATGGAAGTAGCTCAGGACCAGAATACTGAAGAACAGCAGCATCAGGAAAAAGAGGAAAGAAGCAACCAGGTAGCCGCTCGGACTGAAATAAAAAAAAAACAAGTTATTAGAAATTATTGTTTACTTTGGTTGTTACTTTATTTAGTCAAACGCCTTCTGAATGGCTAGCTACTATTTCACTGACAGAGAACAAAGAGTAATAAGACATATCGCCTAACCTCAAAATGTTTACCTTTTAGTGTTTGAGGCTGACCAGGCAGGAAAACAGTGTGATCAATACAACAAGGGAAGTTGCTGCAAAAAGGCTACACAGGTTTCCCAAAGTTACTTAGAAACAACACGTGGCTTATCTCATTAGCAGATTAGTCACACCATTAACCTCCATTAGCACAACAAATTGAGGAGGCAGTAATATTTAAAGTAGGGCCATAAATAATGGTTTGTCTTACATGTTTGATTAACATATTACCAAAAAAAACTAAAAAAAAAACCCAGGCCCAGAACAGAAAAGCAAAATCATTTGCGGTCCCAACTTTAAGATCAAGTTAAGACTTTATCTACTCTCCAAAGGCACTGGTGTGCCGTGCGGGGAAATGCTTTCACAGTCGGTCTCCTGGATGTCTCGGGGTCTGGGGCTGACTCAGGGTCAGTGTGGGCACAGCCACTGTCCTTTCCAGTGCCACTGCCACAGTCTACCATCCGCCCCCTTGGGTGGAGTTGACAGACATGTTTCGTGGGAAGACGGTAGCTGCTGAGTGGGGTGTGGCAGGGGGAGGGAATGAAAGGGGACCCGGCTGCAGCAACAGTGCTCAGGAATTCCCTTCCGCCGTGTAAGATAGATACACACAATTTCAGGACATCACATACAGGGCGGAGATAGCAGGGTCCCGGGAAAACGGGAGAGGGGCTTTTCCTCCTTAGCTGCTACCCATGTCTTTTACAGCCTCAATCTTTAAAGACTGAGAAGGCACAGTTATTACCTGGGAATCACGCCATAGACCTCGATTGCGAATATAGCTGTGAGGTTACAGAAACTGCAAATTAGAAAAAATAACATTAAAGGTTAAATTAAGGGCAACATAGCAAGGCTGCCTCTGCATCCTGATGGTGACATCAAATCATGTACAATCTTAGTCAAGGTGTCATTTTCTTGACAAGGGAGAGAACAGATCCATTTACATAACCGTGGTGATGATTTTTCCGTAGGTGAGACTCAGGAGGCTCGCTCCAAAATTCCGAGCGCCGGCCATGGCAACCTCACTGTGCCCCTGGCAGCTTTACCCCAGTTTGATCATAGTTCCCGGGACAACAGCAATAAGGATATTAATAATAATTAACCATAATAAGTATTGACAAAAATAATAGGCAGGTGACATTTCTGACCACTAATATCCCTGAAAATAATACTCATTGAACACCTGCCTTATACCAAGCAGTGTACCAAGTGTCCTGCATGGATTATCTTGGTTAATCCTTATGGCACTCTTTTCTTCTAGATGAGGAAATGGAGATTTCCTCGTCTAAAGCTGAGTGCTTCATCTTTCATTTCCTTTCATTTCCTTCACTGAAAGATTTCCTTTCAGTCGCAGCCGAGCTGGGATTGAAATTCAGGGTTTTCTGATCGAAGGTTGTGTGATGTTCACCTGAGGTAAGCTGACTCCTTCAGGACTCAGAGAATGTTAGAAAGTCTATGTATGAAACAACTATTATTTCTGCAGGGACTAAGTATCTCTTACAATTGAGCATACTGCTTGGAATGAGGCAGGATATAGCTCAATAAACATTAATGATACGATCCCACTGGCCCTCACGTGGGAGGGAGAGGGAAGAAGAAACTTCATTTTTTTTGAGTATCTGCAAAATACCCAGCTAAGTTACGGGTTTTTACCCAGGTACTTAGTGTCATCCTCAGAGTACAATAAGATAGGTGTTATTAACTCGTTTTACTAAAAAAAATAAGCTCAAAGAGACAAAGCAATTTGCTTAAGACTGCATAGCTACTCTTGGCAAAATTAAGATTCAAAGCAAAGTAGACTTTCTGACTAACACAATGCCCTCAAGGTCCATCCATACCGTTGAATAGGAAAGATTTTCTTCTTTCTTAGGGCTCATATATATGTGTATATATTTACATCTTATTTATACATTTACCGCCGGACACTCTGGCTGTTTCGATGTCCCAGCTGCTGCAGTAAGTATGGGGGTGCAGGCACCTTTCTGAGATAATGTTTGGTCGGGGCTCGTCTGTTAATGGTGACCCCGGACACTCTGACATCTCCTGGGAAGCCCACCCTGTTGGTGTCTGTCATGCTTATGAGAGGACAGAGCCCTTTTTTAAAGAGTTAATGTTTTTTTAAATATATTTTATTGATTACGCCATTACCGTTGTTCTATTTCCCCCCTTCGTTCCCCTCCACCCTGCACACCCCTCCCCCACTGTCCCCCCTTTAGTTTATGATCACATGTCTCAAGTTCTTTAGATTCTATATTTCCCCTACTATTCTTGCCTCCCCCTATCTATTTTCTACCTACTGTCTGTGCTACTTATTCTCTGTACCTTCTCCCCCCTTCTCCTCCTCCCACTCCCCTGTTGCTAACCCTCCATATGATCTTCATTTCTATGGTTCCACTCCTGATCTAGCTGTCCTCTTAGTTTGCTTTTGTTTTAGGTGTGGTTGTTAATAACTGTGAGTTTGCTGTCCTTTCACTGTTCATCTTTTTTATCTTCTTTTTCTTAGATAAGTCCCTTTAGCATTTCATATAATAGGGCTTGGTGATGATGAACTCCTTCAACTTGACCTTATATGAGAAGCACCTTATCTGTCCTTCCATTCTAAATTAAAGTTTTGCTGGATAGATCAATCTTGGATGTAGGTCTTTGGATTTCATGACTTGGAATACTTCTTTCCAGCCCCTTCTCGCCTGTAAGGTCTCTTTTGAGAAATCTGCTGACAGTCTGATGGGAACTCCTTTGTAGGTGACTGTCCCCTTAGCTCTTGCTGCTTCTAGGATTCTCTCCTTCATTTTAATCTTGGCTAATGTAATGATGATGTGCCTTGGTGTGTTCCTTCTTGGGTCCAACTTCTTTGGGACTCTCTGAGCTTCCTGGATTTCCTGGAAGTCTATTGCCTTTGCCAGATTGGGAGAGTTCTCCTTTATTATTTGTTCAAATAAGGTTTCCACTCGTGACTGTTTCTCTTCCCCTTCTGGTACCCCTATAATTCAGATGTTGGAACATTTAAAGATGTCCTGGAGGTTCCTAAGCCTCCCCTCATTTTTTTGAATTCTTGTTTCTTCATCCTTTTCTGTTTGGTCATTTTTTCCTTCCTTCTGGTCCACTCCCTTGATTTGAGTCCCAGTTTCCTTTCCATTAGTTTTTTGTGCATTTTGGAAACTAATAGTTTCCACTATTAGTTTTTTGTGCATTTCCCTTCATTTCAATTAGTTTAGCCTTCATATGTTCCTCTAATTTGTGGCTAAAAATCAACCAGTTCTGTGAGCATCCTGATCACCAATGTTTTGAATTGTGTCTCTGATAGGTTGGCAATTTCTTGATTGCTTAGATTTATCGGCTCTGGGGCTCTGAGTTGTTCTTGAGCCATGTTTTGATCTGTTCGTGACTGTCACGTGTGAGGGGCAGAGCCTTAGTTGTCACCAGGGCGGGGCCATCCAGGTCGCAGGTTTGTGACACTGTATGTGGGGGCCGGGTCAGAGAGGGATAATAGCGTTTCCCTCTGCCGCTTCCTGCCACTGGGGCCTACGCGGTCCGTCTCACTGCTCGCTCCTTCACCGGTTTATCTGTATGTGAATGTGTGACCACGATCAGCCCTCAGTGGGTCTGCCCGCTACTCCACACCGGGATCCACCCACGGCTGCTGGTGCACCTGGGTTGTGCACCTGGGTTGCGCGCCCCGGTCAGTCGGTGGATCTTTCCTGCCCGACCCCGCTCTGCTGCTGGCTCTGCCCCTCTTACCGGTTTGGCTGAAGGGTTCGTTGTTGTCAGACTGCCGTATAGTTCAATTGTTCTATGGTTTGGCTGCGTTTATGTTGCTAAAACTTTATTGTTTTTAAACTTAGTTGTGCGAGAAGGCGCAGTGCTTCCACGCCTCCATCTTGGCGGAAGTCCTCTAGAGAGTTTTTTTTTTTAATTCGGTCTTTGGAGGCTTGAGCTGAGTTTGGCAGTGTTCATTAAGCAGCACCCAGCCCCTGCCACTTACTGCTCCAGCCTTCAGTGCTGACCGCATCCATTTCAGCTTTTTTCTGAGTCACTTAATAGTGTTAATCCTCCAAATTCTTCCTCTCTTTCTTCGAGGTGTTTTGCTGCTGATGAAGACTGAGACCTGCACTTTTTTATAACTCTCACTACTGGTGTGAGCCTCTGTGAAACTCACAGAGCTGTTGACAGGTTTGGCTGGCATCAGGTTTTCTTGCGATGGAAGCTGTGTTTAATTCGTGTGCTGTTCTTTATGGCTCGTCCTCATCACTTTGGAGTAATTCCTGGCATTCGGAGAAGTCCCACACTGCCACCGGGTGTCACCGTGTTGGACCGGGATTTTTATTTAGTCTTCCTACTAGGAATTTTATTCCCTTTCTGACTTAGTGGTTGTTAGCATGTCTTGCTGTGATCATTTATTGGACTTTGCAGAGTGAAATAGAAATTTTATTCTACCTCATCATTATTCCTTCAAACAAATTCTCTGTGGAATTGTTCTTTTCTGCCCCTGGATAAACTACTGGGTAGAATATATCCAAGTAGTAAAGAAGCTAGTCCAAACACTTACACAACTTCAGTCTCTTGAAACATCAAGAAACTTTCCTTCCCTACACTTGGGCCTAAGTCATGTTTAAGAGGTAGCATTGATGAGGAGGGTATCATTATTCGTCATCTTTTCTTCACTAAGCTTTTCCAGGTGCTAATTGCTGTTTCAGAGTCTTCCAGAGTTGGGCACATGTACGAGGAGAAGGTAAAAATTTTATGTAGCTCAGCCAGGGCTGGTGTAGCTCAGTGGGTTGAGCAATGGCCTGTGAACTAAAGGGTTGCTGGTTCGATTCTTGTTCAGGGCAAAGGCCTGGATTGTGGGCCAGGTCCCCAGTTGGGGGTATGTGAGAGGCAACCACCCATTGACATTTCTCTCCCTCTCTTTCTCCTTCCCTTCCCCTCTCTCTAAAGATAAATACATAAAATCTTAAATTTTTTTATGTGGCTAAGACTTCCTGTATCGGATGCCCAAACATTAGCTTTTTCTCTCAAAGGGAGAGAGCATTCCAACATCTAGCACACTGAATGGGTTCTTCATACACTCACACTTAAAAAGAATTTTTTTCTTTCTGTCTTTCTTTTATCTATCTATCTATCTATCTATCTATCCATCTATTCATCTATCTAACCATCTATCCATCCATCTCTGGGAGGGAGGAGGGAGAGAGAGAGAGAAAGAGAGAAAGAGGGAGGGAAATATTGATTTGTTATTCCACTTATCTATGCATTCATTGGTTGTTTCTTGTACGTGCACTGACTGAAGATCCAATCCACAACCTTGGCCTATGAGGATGGCACTCTAACCAACTGAGCTACCCAGCCAGGGCCCATCCACTCCCATCTTGTAGCTGGGAAGTTTCACCTGATATTCCAGGACTTAGGTGGTACTTTCTCTGTCTGGCCATTTACTAACCACCCACAGCCTCTGTCTTCCCCACACATTTTCTCTCTTTGGAGTCACCGTACCCCTGAGGTGAGCAGGGGTGGTCCTTTTCATGATGAACAAGTTCAGTTTCCTTTCACGGGGTCCATGTATGAACCCAAAGCCCACACATGCCCCCCGCCATGGGTGAAAGCCCCATTTCCATCCAGTAGCTCACTCTCCAGCCCTCCTCATGCCAGTGCACCTGCGGGCAGCTTCTTACCTTCACACAATGTAGATGCACCTTAGAATAGCCTTTGTCCCTACGGCCCCCGCACAGAGAGGCCATTGTGTTTCCTTTCCCTGCATGGTTCTCGGAAGCTTTTTTGTTCTCTCTTTATGTGAGTCAGTCAACTTATGTGTGTTCATGGAATCACCGTAGAGGGGAACCCCCATGTGTATTTCCAACTCTTTATAATAAGCTATTCCCCCAATGCAAGGCCCAAATTAGAATTTTTAACTGTCTGTAGGACATCTTCACTCACATATTGCATTGTCCCCTCAAATGCAAAGTCAGGACGCTTACTTTAATACTTCCCCCTAGAGAAAAACCACCCCATTAGCTATTTTGGTCAAAGAAAAGACCATGAGTTTTAAATCACCTAGTCTAGAAAACTGGAAACCATATCCATTCCTTCTTTTCCTTCATTTGTCACATTCGATCAATACAATCCCTCATCTTGGACGTATGTTTATTAGACCGTTTCCAGTCTATTCCTATTGCCACTGGGCTTTTTTTTTAGCTCTTGCCTTGTCAACTGTAGTCTTGCCATTTATCTGTGTACAGTTGACTTGCACAGATACCATTCTTTGTGCTCTTTCCAGGTTAGTCTGGCAGGAACTACACTGTCATCACAACACTTGCCATGTAAAGAGGCTAAAGGAGGCTAAGGACATGGTTTGAACTTGACTTGAACATTGTGCCTTAGATTAGTCTGCCTCCTTTGTCCTGTACCTTCCTCACCCAAGGCTTGTCCCACCTTCCTTCATGGAAGAAGCCATAGGCATTTCATTACTAGTCTGATTTCTGTCACCGGAAAGGGGTATTCTAGTCCTCTGGCAATGCCAATTCTACCAGTGTTCCCAATTCTCCAGGACACTGGAGAATAGGGATGTTTTCTTCTGATGCCCCAAATAGCACTGACCTTTCCCATCTTGGAATTGTTATTCGACCCACCAATAATACAAATGATTACACTGGAAGAAGCTCCCAGTGTTTGCTCTGAGTTAACCTCCCTTGGTTTGTGTGTGTGTCCCCCACAGCTCCTTCCCCAACCTGTTCATCTATAAGCACCTCAAAGGCTGAGATTGTGCTTATGTTATATTTGCATCTGTCACAGCCGAGGAACCTAGTAATTGTGAATTGATTAATTAATGGTTAGCATGAAATATGATCTCCCACCCTGTAGAATGTTTAATGGGATTGCTACAAGAATGAGACAGCAAATACGTGAATAATCACAAAAATTGAATAGCTAGGTGACATCAAATTAAATGAACACAGACGACAGTGGCAGGGAAGGACTGGGGGAGGTAGGAGAGGTACTGGGGGGATTAATGGTGATGGAAGAGGACCTGACTTGGGGTAGTGAACACACAATACAGTGTACAGATGACACATTATAGAATTACACACCTGGAACCTATATAACTTCATCAACCAGTAAATTCAATTAAAAATTAAATTCAAATAAAACTTGAATTTTGAGGAAGTATGCTAAAACTATGATAATAAAACATCTATATTTACCTATAGTTTGGATCCAGGATCTTCACTTGAAACACATACATCCCAGTGTGGTACATGGACCACACTAAGTGGTTATAGTTAGACTTGTTGATAATCTCATATGGTTGATTCAAGTCTCCTGGTCTTCCGATAGCATAAGAAAAGCAGTGCCTATAGTTCTAAACAGGAAATAAAGACAAAACCCCACTTAATCACGCTATCTAGTCTCTGAGAAAGCAAGTCTTCCCTAGCCTCATGAGTTACACTCCATTTCTAGCCAAGGACTTCCCCAAATACTGTGTCAGCCACGCCCAGAAACTTGAGTCCTGAGTCGGGCATGTATAGCCAATCATCCGGCACCCATTGGCTACACACACCAACTGTTCTCCCTCTCCTGCTCCAGCTCCACAGTGATGTGGGGGAGCCTGTGAAAACGTCACTTTTCCTTCTGAGTGTTTCCGTTTTTCTCCTGGGAGTTCCCAGTCTCTAGAGTCACCTCTCAGCTCTTCTATGCAGGTCGTTGGTATCTGTAGCATCAACAATGTCTAGCAACCAGGGCAGCTCCAAGAACTGGGATGCTGCCTCATTGCAGGTGTACGCTTCGGGGAGAGGGCACCTCCAACTGTCGGGTTTAGTTAACGCACAGTTCGGTTGCTGTTCAGCTAACAATCCCTTCGGTTGGGGTAGCTTTACTCCCCGGGACACAACTGGTCTTTGCAGGTACCTGCCTTCCATTGTCTTCAGGCTCCAGGCTGAATTCTCCCTTTTAGTGCAGAGCTTTGTGTCTTCACACAGCAGAATGGAACATTTAGGGCCTGGCGTGGGCACCCCTGACCTTTCTACGTTGCACGCTGCTATTCCCGTGGTTCTTAAATGTGGTCCCCAGAGCGGTGGTATCGCCAACACGTGAGCACTTGTTAGAGATGCAAGTTTTGCCCCCCCTCCCATCTGTAGAATCAGAAGCCCTGCAGGTCCGTTTTACCATGTGCTCCAGGTGATTCTGCTACACGTTGAAACGTGAGACCCACTGCACAGTATCCTACTGACTGAGGCAAGTTTCATGACTGTTAATTAACAGGCGGCCCATTCATTGTTTTGAGGGGTATGTTATTTTGGCAAAGTCTTAGAACATCTGGGCAGCCTTTGTGTGATTTTGGCCAACAGAGCAGCACCTCTGTCCTCGACCCCAAACCCTTCAACAAAAAGTCAGGAGGGTAAGTTTCATTTTTAACTGATTCTATTCCTAGTGTAATTCCTTATGATTTCTTAATAGTGGAATTAATTCCCATTTAACAGGCAGGTGACCTAGACTTAATTAATTCCACAAATATTTATTGAGCCCTTACCCTGGGTTAGACCTTGGGGACAGAGCACCCAACAAAACACACAAATGTCCTTGTCTTACGGACCTTGCGTTCTAGTTGGGGAGCGAGGTAACACATCGGATAAATAAGTGGACTATGTAATGTGTCAGTGAGTTATAAATGCTAATGACATTGAAGAAGCTAGGGAAGGGAGATAGGGACTGTCATGGGGTGAGGGTCACCTTTTTCTAGAGAGTTCTGGGAATGTCTTTATTGACCAGTTGATGTTTAGTTTAATAAAGACCTGAAGGAGGCTGGCTTTCCTCCTGCTTCTCGAATTCTTCCTTTTTCGTCTCCTTTGTCCCTCCTCACCTCCCCAACCTCTAAGTAGTGGAATGACCCAAGGTTTAGCGCTCCTCTTTTTTATATCAGGGGTTCCTAAGCTCATAGTGTGTGTATGTACAATTTTTTTTTTTATTTGGGTCCTTTTGTCAATACGATCAAGCCGGTGGATTACAAAGGATACCTTCTTAGGACAATGTTTAACAGGATGGAACACCAGATTTAATAATTACTGTAATTTTTTTTTTGGTGACACAGGAAGCAAGTTCATTAGGTGAGAATTAGGATGGGCGAAGGAGTGTTGGAAGCGCTGGGGGAGAGAAGGACGTGCTCACTAGCTGTCTATGAGCAGGGAGAGGGACTGAACTGGAGAATTGCTGTTCTGTTTGTTGAGCAGTGCCATGGGCCCTTTTCAATCATGGAGGTAAAATGAAACAAGTCAGCATGAGTGTGTTTTTCTCCGGTCATAGTCAGCTGCTGAGGTGGATAGTTGACTCTAACCAGGGTTAGGAATTAGTCACATGACTATGAAGAAGTAAGAGGGGGGCTGAGGATCCGAGGGCGCATGTTAACGGGTGAAATAATTGTTGCCTGTGGAATTTAAGCTGGATGAAGAGGGAAAAGGTAGCCTGGGAGTGGGGTGAGGGTGTTGGGGTCAACAGACTGAAGGGTGTGCTGGGGTTGAAGGGCTGCTCACGGGGCTGTTAGAGCAAAGCTTCTGGGGTTACACTGCCGGGAAGATGGGCGGTGGTGGGTGGAAGGTGAAGTGTTCAGAGTGGGATACAGGGGCGAGGCACAGCACTGGCGTGTATCTCTGTTTTGATCTGCATAGATTCTGATGCGGAAGCACAGTTTTACAGGCTGAGGTAGATTATATGTCGCTTTGTATTGATGAGATACAATTTGATTCTCCAAATAACATGCACCAATCTCAATTTAATAAATTCAGTTGCAAAACATTGAAAGCAGCATAGGATTGATCATTGGCATTAAGAAATGATCTTTTAGTTGAAACAAAAATGGAAACCTCAGGCATCCTTTAGAAAGATTTGCCTTGGTGTTTTAACATGTTTGTCGGGTATTTGATGATCTGTAAACACAGATTCCCAGCAGGTCAAATGATACGAACTTGTCAGTGACGGGTGCAACAGAAGATCAAACAGAAATGAAGATGAAGCATTTTTGACATCACCGTACAATCCAACAGAAAAACCAGATTTGATTCACAAAAAACAAATTGAAACCCAAAGTGTTCCCTTCAGGCTTTATGAATACAGCAATGTCAAATTACGTATTCAAAATAAGCAATTTGCAAGGGAACGTTTTTCTTACCTCAGGTCCCCAGACTTTTTCCAATGGAAGGTCCCGGTTAAGCTCTATCATTGACTTCCACGTCTGGGCTTCATGTAAACAACCGGTCTGTCCACAGATAAAGGTAGTGTATCAGTTTATTCGTGAGTACTGTGTATACTCCAGTGCCAGTGAAAATCATGCATTGAAAAAAGTTTTGTTATTTAAATGTTTGCTGACATACAGAGAAACCTTGACTTTGGTACACTGACCTTGTACAGAGAGAGTTCCCTAGACCCTTTGACTACTGTGGACTGTGTCACGCAAACAGTGCTGTTACCTCTGGACAGGACAGCTTTATTTCTTCCTTTCCAGCCTTTATACTTTTCATTTATTTGTATTGCCTATCGTTTGTCTCATCACAAAGATCAGGAAGAGTGTTGGCCAGAAGCAGCGGAGAGCAGGCCTTTTACTTCGCATTCCTGATTTCAGAGTTTCCGGTTTTCATCTTACATGCATGTTTCTATAGCTTTTATTTCATACCTGCGTTGTATTAGGTTAAGGAAGTTGCCATCTATTTATACTTTTATAAGATTTATTTAAAAAAAATCATATAAGCATGATACTTTTTTAAACCAAATGATGTTTTATCAACTATTATAATAGTCTTATATATTTTCTTCTTCATTGCTAATATGGTGGATTACTTTGATTTTCAAATGCTATGCCAATTCTTTGTGAAATAAACAAAACTTTGTCTGGATATATGATTTTTAAAATACATTGATGAGTTTTATTTGCTACTATTTTGTTTCAGTGTTTTGGGTCAATGGTCATGAGCGAGATTGTCTCAAAATTCTATTTTAAGTTTTTCCTCGGGTCACCAAGTGATTTGGGACATGCTCCCCTTACTCAATAATCTGGATGAGTTTTTATGGGCTGAAGTAAAAAATGTTTACAGACTTCAGTCTGTTTTTTTTTCTTGGAATACAAGAAACTGTTAAATTATGTTTTTAAAGGCATTTGCTCATTTTATCCTTTTGTCCATTGTCAAATTGGTTGAGATAATAATGTCTATTATTTATGTCATAAAATGATAATATTCAAAATCTTTTTTTCATTTGTGAACTGGAGTAATTTTATAAAGAAGAGATGCTTCCTCTCATCTACTATTTGGTCACACCCTGGTGTAGTTTATGTGAGGAAGGTAGGATAAACATTTGCCTGTTTTCAAAATAAGAAATTGGTTTCCTGTCATTCTCCAAAGGTAAACTTTAAAAAATCATTATTAGTGCAGAGATTTAACATATTTAATGGGTTTAACACATTGCAGTGACTGTTCTAATCTAGCTCAACGTGTCCCGTCTTTGGCCCATAGGATGGTCTTCATGTTGACGGCTGATTACTGCTGACATGACCCTGCCAGTCTTTGATGCTTCCTTGCTATTGGGTATATCAAACTCCTCCAAGTTCATCCCATGCACTTCCTCCTTCAGGCTTGGAATCAGCCATTCATCTGAGAATTCCCAGTAACTTTTAGTGGGAAGTGCCATTTCAACATAACCATCGGCGTACTGAGGATACTTAACTGCTACTGATAAGTTATGTTTCCAGGGACCTTAATGGGCAGAGCAGGAAAAGTTTATCTATTTCTCTCTCTGTCTTGTGATATAAACATCATATTCATATATTGTCTACCCAGACCAATATCTGTTGTAACACCTCATGAGTTTATACTGAGTTCTATATGAATTCAGGATGCTTGTCTAACTTCTTCTATCTTACATATTTATCTCGTTGCTTTTACAAGAAAAAAACACTTGGCAGAGAATGGTAGTGTTGGAATATCCCATCATTACTCATTGGCTTTATGTCATGTTATACAACCTCACAGCTTCAGAGTAACAATACAGATATTACCACTACAATCACGAGATAATAATCTAAAAAGTTAGATTTTTTTCCTTTGCCTGCACTATTTGCATTCTCCCACTGTTTTTAGAATTTTTAGAATTCTCTCTTTTTTAGGATTCCAGTTCTTAGATCTTAGCCTCACATCTCCATTATGTTTTTTTCTCTATTTTATTTATTTATATTTAGAAAGAGGAGAGGGGAAAGAGAAAGAGAGGGAGAGAAACATCTACTGTGTGGTTGCCTCTCACACGCCCCCCACTGGGCACCTGACCTGCAAGTCAGGCATGTGCCCTGACTGGGAATCAGACCAGAGACCTTTTGGTTCACAGGCCGGCACCCAGTCCACTGACCCACACCAGCCAGGGCCCTTTCTCTATTTTAAATCGGTTCCCCTCTCTATGCATAATTCTGTGTCTTTCTTTCCGACCTGTCTTCCGGTTGACTAATTCTCTTCTCAGCCCTCACTCCCCCTAGCTGAGTGCCTGATCCCAGTTATTCCAATTTTATTTTAGTTTTTCTCGGAATGATCAGCAGCTCAGATGCCGGCATGGAGAAGGCAGGAAGACTGGTGTCTAAAGTTGCCCATGAGAGTGAACAGGAACAACACCGGGGGAAGTGACGGAGATATTGGCAAAACCAAAACTGACCAGAGAACTGACCCATGTCAAGGTAGACAGGAAATAAAAGGAGGCAAGTGGGAGGGGGGGAGGGGGGAGGCAGAGGCTTCAGTGAATGGATATTAAACTGCGTGAGAAAAAAGGAGGCGGAGGAACAGAGGGAGTAACGACCAGGGAACTGAAGAATTGGGGGCGGAGACCAGGCTGGACCATTTGAATCTGAATGTGCTGTTGCCGGGGCCAGTTGGACTAGCTGAGCTCCTCTGTGTGTCCTGTGACGGTAAACCCCAGCCCTCCGAGGTTCACTTGTTAACAGATGATTCTCGATCACACAGAATTCAATGCACATCTCCCTGGGCAGCTATTCTTAGGGACGACTCTCCTCAAAGACCTGAATGAGGAGTTTGGGCTCTTGCTGTCCGGTGGCTCCTTGAAGTCCCCCTCCTGTCCCCCAGCACTCTCTATTCTGTCTTCCAGTGTTGTTGTCACATACCGACATGTGAAGGAAGACAGGAAGTGGGGGGACCACATGGAGGTTCATGTGGTCGCCCCGCTAAAGCGCTTCACCCTGAAAATGGCAATAGGGCTGCTGCTCATGTCCCAGGGTCAGAACCAGTCACGTGGCCCCAGCAAGACACAGCTGGGGCCAGAAAACGTAGTCCCTGTTCTGAGACTTTCCCCAGCAATAACCCCCCGGGGCGGCTGGCAGAAGTCCGAGACAAGTGCAGTCCTTTGCAGGGCAGGAGGAGAAATCCTTAAGTTCTGAGTATATGACAGTGGCAGGTAGGGACGGGTTAAATGGCAGCTGGATGACAAATGGCAGTTTACTGAGGGTAATGGGAATAATGATCTGGAATAATAGTGTGGGTTGGGGAGAACCTCACTTCCATAGCTCAGCCTCAAGAGAGAGAAAAATAGGATTTGGTACAAAAACAGGGCAAAGGACATTCTCTGAGGAAGGCTTATTGAAGAAGGATGAAGGGCACTGAGCCCCAAGATGCACTGGGAAGGTCTGAGAAGGTGGAGAGTAATGGGAGTGTGGGCCCAGGTGTGGAGGGATGCAGACGTTTAGGGATGAGACTGGGGGGAGCAGGCCGGGCGGACTCACATGAGTGTCCAACAAGTGTAAGAGGAGTGTGTGGGGGGGTGGATTGGTCTGGCAGCACAATTGAAGGACAGTTAGTTCCTGCATTTCTCTGGAGGGCACAGCAGGTGGGGCTCAGCTGCTTCCTGGGTGGGTTGCCCTTGGAGAACTAAGGTCTCTGGTGGATGAGAAAGTTACTCTGGAAGGAGCACGTTACTTCGGTCTCATCTGCGCACAAGTTCTCTGGGGAATCTCAGGAATCAGCGCTGGTAACTTCCAGAGAAGCTCCATCCTGAGGCCCCCTCAAGGGCCAAAAGCCCCAGGTGGGGGTGGCTGGGAAAGGAGTTGGTGGGGTGGGGCGAGGGGAGTGGCGAGGCCTTTGTGCTGAGGCCTGCAGGGTCACAGGGCAGAATAAGGGGGCTTCACTCGCAGGTCAAGCTTGAGCAGTCACGGAAGATGGAGGGAGACCGGGGGAGATGGGGGCCTGGGAAGGCCAGGTCAGCAGGTCAGATGATGTGAAGAAGTCACGTGAAGCGAAGCCCAGAGAGTGTCTGTCTGATTCAGCACAAGTGTGACCGATGCCCGAAGGCCAGAGGCAGGCAGGGTGACCATAAAAATCCAGCATCCAACACAGTGTGGGGAGAAAAACGCGTCTGCAATCGAATCGGGCTACTCTAAATAGTCTTTCATTCCTCTCCAACCCCTTTAAGTCTGTCTTATGGGACGATGACTTCTTTTTTCATAAATTAATTTCCGTAGCCACAGGATCTAGAGCTAGCCTATATTTTTTCCTACCCACAGCGCACTGGTTTTATTTCCCTTAGATACTTTACATAGCCATCTAAAACAGGAAGCCCTGTTGAACTGCATGCTGAGTTCTGTTCCACCCTGGGTGACGTACCTTCGCCATTGTGGTGTTGAAGCTGTAGTCATTCCTGCCGTGAATTTCCCACACGATGAAGTTGACGCTGACATCTTCCACAAAGCCCTCGTCGCTGTATCTGAAAGAAAAGGCAAACACAAAAAAGAGAATTGCCTCATCCTCCTAGAAATATCATTTTATTGTTTCTGGCCCCTTTAAATCTGTTCCACATGACAATGGCTTTTTTTTTTCATAAGTTAATTTTAGTGGTCACAGGTTGTGCAGGTGATATGTTTTATTTTCTACCCACAGTGGACCGGCTTTATTTTCCAGGAGAATAGAGGGATCAACCCCAGCTTTCAAGTCAGATGGGCTTAGGTTTAAAGCCTGTCTTTATCGCTCAATGGCTTTGTGGCCCTGGGGACGTTATTAAACCCTTTATGCCCCAGTGTCCCTATTTGTAAAATTGTCACAGTACCCGCTGTGCAGGTTCCCGCCAGCTCTCAGAATAAACCTAGTTCTAATGAAGCAGGTGTGTGTCTGTGTTTTAACTAGTTGGAGCCCTAACTTCTCTTTGCTTTGATACGAACCATATATTGATCATGGTTCAATCACGGTTCAACAGGAGGGTAGCCGAGGCCCCGCTGCCATGGCTGGCCACAGGGGGAGAGACGGAAATGAGTGATGAATGGAGGGAGGTCAAAGCAAGGATCTGGTGTCATTTAATCAACAGAGACCCAGTGGAAGCCTAGTCACAGCAGAGCATTAAGCCACAGAGAGACTATGATGAGAACGGAGAGGCTGCTGGCAGCCTCTGAGATCTCAGAGGATCAGTGGCACCTGGGAGAACTGAGGTGGGCAGAGAAGCAGAAGTCATCAGAAGCCCCCGGGGCGATGGCCACACACGGCCCGTGACCAGGTGAGCACGGGCACCAGCAGCAGACGCCAGCGCACAGCCCGGCGAGGACAGGCTGCCTGCTCCCCTGACCTGGGCACCGAAGCCCCAAGCCCCACTGGGTTTAGAGTAGTTACCCCAAACCCAGTGAGTTTGAAAGAGACGCGTTACTTCACATTGTTAAGATTATTATTTCCTGCTATCACAAGACCGAAGCTACGGTCCAGGTCCTGACACAGGCATACATCTGCTAGCCGGGCCTTGTGGCTGTTTTACCCATTGGTTACCTGTCTTCCTTCTGCAGCAGTTATTGCCCATTTTTCTAAAAATGGAATTGTCCCCCGCACCCCTTGGGTGGAAATATCACCTAAGACCTTGGTCTCAGGCAGCTTGCCTCAACATCTCATGTGTTTGCTGTGCCCCCTCTCTGGGTCTATTCATAACAACCAACAGATCCTTGACGTCGCCTCCTTATTTGCTACCCGGATCGCTGCTGGACTTTGCAGCTACTCTCTGGCTTCCCGGGCCAGCTACGAATTGCCACTCTCCGCTCCTGATTATAAAAACAGTTCCCACCCCATTCTCACAAATGGGGCAGAAAAATTCTAAGTGTCAGAAAGTGGTCTGGGAGAAGCTATTTCATCTCCATCCTAATGAGTTTTCAGAAATCATAAAGAGAGGAAGTCAGGTGTGAGGAACTGGGGACCGGAGTAGTGGATGCTGACTGCTTTCTTGGGGCGGGAGGAGAGCCGCGGAGAACCAAACTCTAAGGGGAGCTCTGGACCCTGCCCCGGGGGTGATGCACCAGGGTGTGAGAGCCCACACGATTTTGTAGTTGGAGAGATCTGGGCCAGGCTTTTTAGCAAAGCTCTCATTCTAGGAACTTCAGAAGGTGCAGCATGCTTGACCGCATCTTCAATAAGCCATCAGAATTTTGAATAAGACTAGTGGCAAAACCCTAGGTTTGCTTGAAATAAAAAAGACCTTGAACTGTGAGCGTCCCTCTTTCGACACTCACCAAAAGCAATAGGCTGCAGTGCCATCTAGTGGCAAAAAGGATAAATTGCATGACCCCTACTTTCTGGGTTTATAATGATCTTTGATAACATTTTATTTATTTCACTGAGATTATGGGATCAAAATACTTGCCAGGATAAGCATGGCTTATTTCCATTATGTTCATTAATATAAGATACAATATTAATTACACCTGAGGAATTTAGAAATGCCGCTAGTTGGCAACTAACTTCCCCACACATTGCAAGTTCACTATCGAGGTTCCACTTTTGGGAAGGAAGGATCTCCCGGCCGATCCCTGGGGCACTTGGTTTCAATCCTGTGTGACCTCTAGGACACCCCATTGTTTTTTGTGCTCTAACCCCTGGGGCCTCGCTGAAGGGACTGACCCTTCCAGGGTTAATTAATTTGTAGAAAGAGCAAATAATTGGTCTTCCAGCATGCCTTTCACCTGCAAACCGACCAATCCAGAGCCCCCAGCCCAGCCACCTCCTCGGGGTCTCCTACTCTGGGCTCTCCAACTGCCCTAACTGCCAGGTGTCAGACAAGTAGGGGCAACGCCCAGGCCCAGAGCCTGCTCACGTTTTCCAGAAGAGCCAATCCTAAGCCTGCTTTACCCTGCCTTCTTCCTTCCCACGGGAAACGCAGTCAAGGCTCTTGCCCCCTTTTCCCCCTCCTCCCTCTGCTTCCTGGCCAACCCTGGTGCTTCCCCGTGGAAGCCTTAGACATGGCGTGTTTGCATGATGAGCCAGTAGAGAGTGTAAAGGTGATGGTGCCGGAGAAAGAGGGGACCATCTTAACTAGGGAAGGGATGGGGATACAGTTCACATGTGGAGGGACAGGTCTGATTCACAGGTGGTTCAGCTGCAGTGATAGGAAAACAGCTATTGATACAGGTGCTTGAAGACGAGCGGAGGTGCTGGTGGAAGTGGGTGGCGGATCTCTTCCGACCAACGTCACCTGAAGGACAATATGGGACCAGGCCGCTCTACTGAAGGGGTAGAGAGGAAGCCTTCCACGATTGACTGGGGATCCATCTGGCTCCTTCCCCAGCCTCTTCTCTGACCCTTCTCTCTCTCTGTGCCCCTTCAATGGACTCTTGGCTGAAAACGCTTAGGGAATTCACCGCCTTCCTCACTTCTTCCCTCTCTGGCCTCCAGCTCAGTATTCATTACCCTTGATGACTCAGTGACTCAGCTCAGATGCACAGTTTCTGGCAGCATCTCCCAGAACCCCTCTTCCTTCTGTAGCTAGGTATTGAAACTTCTGAGTTGCAACCCCAAGCACCTACACCGTTGCCTTCGATCACCACACTCGGCTTATCATCAGCTCCTGTGTTTATCTATTTCATCGGACTCTTGAGCCCTTGAGCTTAGAAATCCTGTCGTATCTATCTTTGAATTCCCGGTGCCTAACACAGTAATTAGTGCGCAGTAGCTGTTTAATAACGATGGACTGGAGGGGAGAGTGCACTTCCGTGGGAGAGGACGTTGAGATGTTTTCTCTGAGGGGGATGAGTCACTATATAAAACAGAGATAACTAGGCCTCAGTGAGAGGGAGGAGTGATGGGGGGCAGGAAAAGCAGTGGCATGATTAGATGTATAGGAAATCAAGGCTAGACAAGATAGCCGACCAGCCTGCCTGCTCGCAGAACCCCCGACCAAGGGGTCAGAGGAGGATGGGGTAAGAAGTGGGAAAGAGTGTGGGGTCTCAGAACTGTGTGGTGAAATGGGGGCGAGAATGCCCTGGCAGGGCCTGTGGGTTCTCCACAGGGGAAGCTCTGCGGGCAAAAGTGCACCGGAGCTCCTGGTTTGTTATTCCGCACCTCCCCACCTGTGGGGGGCTCGGGAGCCCAGGGGGCCCAGAATGCTGAATGCCCAGGCTGAAGTTTTGATGTTTTACACTTTGGAACTTTGCTTCCAGTAATTTATGCTAATCACATATCTGGACTAATTTCCAAACATGTCCATCAATGGATATTCACCACAATTTTATTTATAATAGCAAGAAAATTAGAAGCATAGGTCATTTATCTTTGTATATTTTAAAATTTGTAGCAAGCTGTGTCACTTCTATAATTATAAATCAAAGTAAGGTCAGAGAAGCTAACAGATGAATACAAAATTACTAGGAAAAGCCTTCCCGAGAGCATTTTTATTCACATTTTTATTATGAAATGCTGTTTGTAAGAATTAAAAGTTTAGAGGTAATATTTTTGAAATCTTCCCAGTCCCTTATCAGTGCACATGGTTTCTTTCCTTGCAAGCTTTTGGTTATTATTGGTCCATGGAAAGAAAAGCCGCATGTGTCCTGAGGACTTAGTGCCTATCAAAGTACCTTCAGTTTCCTAAGGGCACTGATAGGAAGCAGCCTGGGGAGAGATGTAGAGAGGGCGAAGCAAGGGTTGGGGGGACTCTGCCTGCACCCCCAAAAAGGGCCTCAGCCGTCTGACCCACTTAGGTGTCAGCTGCCCAACTGTCACCTCCCTCAACATGCCGGGACCATGGGCTGTCCCCTTCGGTTAACCTGCACTGAAAACCCAGTGTCCCGTGTATTGGGAGCTCAAAAATATTTATTATTAAGTGCATGATTAATGAGCCTTCTTTTCTTCTTTTATTTTGAAACTTTCAAAGTAAGTTCAAGTATTAGTGAGACTATACTTACAATTCAATCAAAGGGTGAAATTTTTCTCTAAAATTAAGTCTCAATGGGCAGCCATATTTTTGCCAATTATATTGTACTCTCTAGAAAAGAAAAAAAATGCTTTGGTTATTGTTGTATTAGGCCAATTGGTAAAATTATATAGTTTTCTTACCAAGTTTTTAGATGGTCGATTTCTCAGATATGATCTGTAAAAAAAGACATTTTTCATTACTTATCTTTTCCTCTTTTCAAACTTAAATATTAACACCATTACTGTGGGTAGGGAGGTAACACAGAAGTCAAACAGATAACCATAATTGCAAAATACTTCCAAAATATGTGGAAATTAAATAGCACACTTCTAAGTACCACATGAGTAAAAGAAGGCATAAATCTTAAAAGAAATTTTAAAATATTTCCAACTAAATGAAAATGAAAACCCAACTTTTCAAAATATGTTACGTGCAGCAAAAGCAGTACCTAAAGGTAAATTTATAGCAATGAATGCATACATTACAAAAGGCTGATGCTAATAGGAATAAATACTGACTCTAAATTATTGGTGCTACATTAATAAAAACTCAGTGCTTATGTTAAAATATTTCTTACTTTTCGATAATGTAATAGAAATCATGTGGAGTGCATCTTTTATTAAATCTACAAAAATAAAACACAATGAAGTTATAATACCATCATTTCTTACATACTTGCACAAACACTTAATCATTTAACTCAGTAATTCTCAAAGTTCAGAATATCACAGGATCACCGCCCACTGAATTATATATAATCTCTGGGGTTAGTGGGCTGCCCTAGCATTTCTATTTTTAAAAATCAGTTTCGCAAATGTTTCTGAAGACACCAGAATTTGAAATCTACTGATTTACTTCTTACATTTGATACATGAGAAAAACTGATAGAAGAATCTATCAAAATGAAGACAAACTTCTGTGGATGTCTTATTCCTCATACATTTTTTTCTAAACACAGATTTCTAATTTCTACTAGAGACTCAGTTATGCAGGGAAGGAGCTACTTAAAGGATTCACATAATTTCTAGCTTAGGTTCATGCAGACATGGGCTATCAGTGTATGTAACGATAGCATTTTTAGTAAGTTAAATTATTCATTGGACCATTTTTGTTGGTTGTAATTTGTAATGGACCTTAATGACTGCTGTGTTTAGGTAGATATTGGAAGTTTGGACCATCTCCCACCCCAAACCCAAAGTAGACGCCAAGAGATGCTCTTCTTCATTGACAAGTCTTCCATCAGAACAGGGAATAAGAAGTATAAACAGTAGGTACAGAATAGACAAGGCATGGTTAAGAATAGTATGGGAAATGGAGAAGCTGAAGAACTTATAAGTATGTCCCATGGACATGAACTAAGGGGGAGAATGCTGGAGGGAGTGGGGGTGCAGGGCAAAGGGCGATAATAGGGAGAAAAAAATGGGACAACTGCAATAGCATTATCAATAAAATAGACTTTAAAAAATCCATGTATAATGTGCATAAAAACTGGGTGTGCATTATACATGGCAAAATACGGTAATGGGTCAGTAATGACAGTACCACGTTCCTCCCATTAAGAAAAAGCAGTAGAATACCTTGGACCCCACGCATCTCCTTTGGTAACTATGAAACCATGGGTCCCAACAACCACAACCCAAATCCCAGGTATTAGGGCTGTTTTTTGGGTTCCGGAGCAATGGGTCATTGACTGAGAGGCCCCGCTTTTACTACTCCTGAAACTGTGTTTTGTAAACAGGCTCTCCAGGTGATTCTGCTGAGTCAGTCAGTCACTCAGCTCTCCAGACCCTCCTGGAAGTCAGAAGTCGTTGATATGGGATGCAGGGCATCTCTTTGAAACAGGAAATCTGCATCCTGGGAATTGATTTGGGGAAGTTACTGCTTAGTGCAGCTATTCTCGAATGCTACTGCCCTTACTAATCTTCTGGGGATTTCTTAAAAATAGAGATTCTGACTTAGCCGAAGTGGATTTCTATTAAATTCCTAGGGGATGCTTGGGCCAGAGGCCATCCTCTAACGAGCAAGGGTGTATGTAGACCGTCTCAGAAAGAGGAGGCTATGGGTTGTGTACTTCAATTAGCCTTTGTGTTTCCTGGAAAAGGGTTTTCGGAAAATGCAAATTCCTTGCTGAATGAGATGAGAATGCTTAAGTATCAATCCAGCAGCTGATTATTACAATTCGATTTTCAAAAGATTATTAGAATGACAGATAAGCAGACCTTCGTTTTGGATGAGAGCAAATCATTTCATTCATGGACTCGCCCCCTCTTTAGCCACAGGAAAGGAATCACAACACATGCCTATCTGCATTGTACATTTAACCCCAGTTAAACAGACTTCTGTATGTTGACCTTGACTTTCCCATGTAGCAGAAAGAGAGCTGCGGCAGGTGGATGACACAAATCCCAGTGTGCACCACTGTGGACCAGAAGGAAGTTCATTCTTTTTCCCTTTTAGGAATGATCAAATGTAACACTTGGCAAAAAGTTCGAACAAACTTGGTTCGGGCAAATTGTCAGTTCGATTTTGGATTTCATTATGAACATGCCAGTCACTGGGCTAAAGTTATCACTAATAATTACCATCTCGTTCACCATTGGTTTTGAAATAAAAAGAGTAAGACAGGTCAAGTTCAAGTATACTTGCCCTTTCACGGCAATGTATTTACTAGCATCACAGCCAACGGCTATCTGGAACACCTAGGATGAAGTGATTTAGGTGGTGAGGTCAGTGGTTCTGGTGGACATGGTCTAAAATATTTCTGTAGCTAAAAGCAATTACATTTTGTAGATCAACATTAATAACCTTTTAAATGCGCTCTTTTCCCACTTCTTTGGTCACTTGTTTCCTCTTTCTTTGCTTCATTTCTTCCTTATTGCTCATGAGGCCCAAATAAGGCCCAAAGGCCGGCTCTCTGCTTTCTTCCGGCATCATCTCCGAGAGCTGACCCCATCTCATCTTTCACCTGCACCTCTCCTCTAGTTCCACCCGCACCTCTGGTTTGCGCCCTGACTCAGCTGGCAAGCTCTTAAAGATTTATTTAGAGAGAGGGGAAGGGAGCGAGAAGGAGAAGGAAACACTGATGTGTGAGAGACAGAGTGATGGGTTGACTGTCACATGTCCCCTACTGGGGGCCTGGCAGGCAACCTGGACACAGGTCCTGACTGGGAATTGAACCAGCAACGTTTCGGTTCACAGGGCCGGTACTCAATCCACTGAGCCACACCAGCCAGGGCTTAACTTGACTTCTTTTTAACCAGAGTCCTGGTTCTTCCTTGACGGCGATGACCTCTATGTATTTCTACCTGGCTCCAGGACTCACTGCTGTCTACCCTGACCACTCCCCGACTCCCCAGACTTGTTAAGCTGACCTAGACACTTACCTCGTGTCTTAAACATGTCCTCTCTGTTGCAAATTTCCACAAGGCAAATCTGAAACCCACCTAATACTTCCTCCCCTGAAGAAGGGTTTGGGGATTACGAGGGTGGGGACAGACGCCCTGCCTAGCTTGATGGTAGCACTGCTAAAGCAAGACCTTTGGGTGCCACCCGAAAGGCCTTGTATGACAGCAGGACCTTGTGGATTTTGTTTTCTGAACCACCTGACCTCACCTACAGGACCTGATTTGTTCTCTCAACACCTGTCCCCGCAGTCCTTGCTGTCCCTCATCATTAAGTCTTTGTTCTCCTCTCAAAGGCACTCAGGAGCACGGGCCTGCGGTTTACCGTGACTACTGTAACACAGGACTAATGTGTCCACGTGGCATGCATGGCTGACCGAGGCCCTCTAGTCCTTCACAGTCGGGACCCGCCATCACCTGATGGTCTTACGTGTGACACCCCGCTTCTTCTGGGGCCCAGTTTACACACCCGGTGACTCAACGGTGACCTGCAGGTGGATCTTGAGCGGAAGCGTGGGTACAGAGTGCAGAAAGCAGGAGTAAGCACTGCCGTAGGCGTCCTGGCACGTGTCCCCCAGGACTGGACGCCTAGTTAGAGGAGTTCTGACAGCCCGAGTGAAAACAGGGGGTGCGTTGGTCTGACTTAGTATTATTCTCTCAGGTGCAGAGACGGGCCGGACGGCTCCCATTGTAGCTAAATCAGACAGCACATTTCCGAGAGCCGGGCAGAGGGCTGAACAGAGACAGGCATTCCAAAAGCCCTCCACACAGAAACGTTGGTAGATGATGCGTTAGACGGAGTGCAGTCCTCTCTCCCTGGGAAGGCTCATCCTGGGACAGGGCCTGCTTTACTCGGGTGGCCTCGCTGCATTATGGACCTCAGCGCGTGGTCAAAGGCAGATGCAGCCCTGTGGGAGCTGCCGGTTTTGCTTTCTGCTCTGCTGCTGGATCTGAAGACTAAGTGATAAGAGAGTAGGCTTCTGTTCAAGTGGCTCAGTCCAGTCTGTTTGGTCCGGCAGATTTAGCCAGGGCCGAACTCAATCCACCTGGAGAAGTCAGTGGGCCACGCTTCCACGAACACACAGAGCTGCACCCTGGGTCCCTGTGATACTTAACTGCAAGGCGGATGACTTGCTCACTGGCCGGCGTAGCAGCACAAAGGACGGTCCTGTGGTTGAGGGAGTCCCTTGCAGCTGTGCACGGGTTTTGGTTTTCTTGGCTAGCTGGAGGACCTACCGCTACCAGGCTATGTTTCTGCTGCATAAAGGACTATTGCATGTTTCTTCATCCTGGTTCAGTGAGTGGGGCACGGAGGGTGGCTTGGTTTGAACGGTTCGTGTCTCAAGGTGTGCCAAGGAGAAAAGCAGTATTAGAACATTCCTCTGTGACAGGCACTTCTCTAGGCACTTCACATAAATGATCTCACTTAATAGCCTGAACAGAGCAGGTGAGTACTCTGAGACACATGTTTCATTTCCCTTGTTACAAATGAGACCGCTGAGCCCAAACCAGGAATGAGTAGGACTTAGATCTGAGCTCAGGTGAGATGCACCTGTTTGTAATGCTGGGGCTGGGCAGGATGGGGTGAATAGAGGTCCCTAAGGCACCTACTGAGTAAACAAGGAGAGGGATGGAGGAAACCAAGGTGCTTCAGGAAGGTGTCTTGTATGGCCTGGGGTGGGGCTGTCCAGCAGAGACCGAGGCTGGGGCAAGAACTGGAAAGGTCACTGTTTCTTGCTTCCTCCACAGGTTGAATGGGGTAGGTAGCACGGCAGGCCAGCTCCTGAGGAAGCAGTGTGTGTCTGCAGTGCTCAAGGACGGCCTGTGTCCTCTGTCCAGGGCTGCCTCTGAGCTCACGGACCCTCTCCCTGGTAGGAACCATGTCCTTGTGCTGGGGTTTTGCGGGCAGGGACGACGTCTCATTGAGCTTTGCGTCCTTCATGTAGGTATTCCCTGTTCTCACATGCCAGGGACATAATGAGTACTCGATGTACATTGATTGACTATTAGTCAGGCTGAGAAGGAATGAAGAGAGGAGTCGTCCCTCCGAGTGGGGCAGACCCGAAGGCAGCGGTGGTGGGAAGGATGTGTGTCACTTCAGGATACTTGCAGCACCAGCGGCCAAGGCCCGAAGGCCCGTTGCTGTGCTTTCGTATCTGCCGCTCCGTGGGGTTCGCTGCCATCTTCCTGCCCCACCTTCCCTGCAGGTGTTTTGTGCATGTCTGTGCACTGTTTCCTCGGGGCTGCTTGGTAGCTCTGCCCCACGTTCATCCGCATTGGCTCGCGTTTGCCCCCTGGGGAAGGTGCTGCCTTTTCTCGCCTTTGTAACTCACTACCAAGCGCCCAGACTGAAGCCCAGAAACACAGGATGTGAGCGACACATTCTTTTGAGTAAAGAAATGGTTACGTTTTTGAAGAAACCAACGCAGGATGGCAGTCTTTTCTGACAAACGGTATCCCAATTTCATTGTTTCCACTAATTTTGGTTTTCCTTCACACGGCTTTATTTGTTTGAAAAAAAATGAATGACTTCACATTTTTGTAGATGTTTATACATCTCCCTCTCCTAGATGGTAAACCCACAGAAGGCAGAAATCTGATTTTTTGTTTCCAAAGTAAACCGATGCTATCTCGACAGCGAAACATTCCAAAACATCGTTAAGTATTAGAGGAGGTGGTATTATATGGAGGTTACACATCTTATTTTGTTTGCTTGCTATGTATTATTTTTTTAAATGTATTTTTCAATTACGGTTGACATCCAGTACTATATTAGTTTCCGGGGTACAACAAAGTGATAAGACATTTATATATCGTATAAGTGCTTCCCTGAATAAATCTAGTCCCCATCAGACACGATGCATAGTTATTACAATATTATTGCCTATATTTCTTACATTATACTTTATATCCCCAGACCTATAACTAGAAATTTGTACCTATGCCTTATTGAAGGCAGTTGCTGTCCCTTACATCCGGTGGCTATTTTTATAACTGGAAATGTGTGTTTATGCATTAGATACACTCACCTTTAGGGATACTGGACACGTTTTTGTATATTCGCTAGGCCTAGTCTGAATCAGCATAACACCCGTGTTCTGGTATCTAGGAAAAATGACACATACAGGCGATTACAGACTCACTCGGGAGGTAGAAATGACCCTGCCTGTGCCTAGAGCAGCTGAAAAGTCCCACGCACCCCATGTGACCCAGCCTCTCCCAACACATGCTGGAGACCTGGAAGGGGTGCTCGTGACTGTGCTCGGGTTCTGCTAAAGCAGCTGTGTCTGTGGTCAGACCCAAAGGTCACTCACTGTGTTCCATATTTGGCCAACATACTATTGATACAGTGGGAAATTTAAATAAGCATCCACTTGCACTTCGAACCCCTGGGTCACGGACACCCACAGAGCCCAGAGGGCGGAGGTGGTAACTGCTGACCTCCCGTCCTGCTTCCTGATGGTATTATTACAAGGCCCTGTGGCAGTTCCCTCTCTGGCTTCTACACATCTGCCCTCCTATGGATTAGCACCTTTGGAACAATAAAGAGGAAGCTGTGAAAATAGTTTTCTGAGCCACAATCTGCTGCATACTATTGTCCAATTGGCATGAAAAGGGAGAGCAGCTATAACGCCCTTCTAGCTTATGAAGTTCACGAGAGTCATTTTGTGCACAGGCAAAACAACTCAAAAATCACAGGAGAAATTTAGAAAGCTTTATTCACAACCCCTCCTTCTGCTAAGGAAAAAAACTGGGAAGAAACAAATGCAAACAAGCTAACCACAAACAAATGTCCTTTTTCTTCCAATATTGATTACATGTTAATATTTATTCAGTTCTTTATTTAATATTTATATTTATTATAATGTATAATAAGTAAATCAGGGTACAAATAGCTCATTTTCATATTTTTAAATTACTGTGCCATAGTCCATTAATTCTAAGGTACTTATTTCTTTTCTCACTTAACACCTTTGGAATTAGGAAGCATCTTATAACTATGCCGGTTGTGGCTTTTTCAGTTTGGTGGCATATTTGCTTTGGTAAACTCAGAATATAGCACAGACCTGTAAAGAGGATGAAAGTAAAGATTTTGCCTTCAATTCTGTACACAGTATTTCCGATAGCACATTTTTTTCTACCATGGCTGATTTCAAAGCTTTTGGTATTTCTTCTAAAGAATCACCTGGGCTGGACAATTGGACGTGTAGTCTACAGCGCCAGAATTCTGAGTGATACCCACCAAACCAGAACACACAAACGTGCTAAACCACACCCTGGGAAGAATGGGAAACCTCAGTGGGTGGAGGGGAGAGGGGCGCCTCATTTGGCTAGTGTAGCCTTTCCTCCCTACCCTCCCGGCCATGTTCTCCCACTTCATGGTTCCATTTCCTCAATAGCACTGAGCGATGTTTGGCATTATCTTATTTATTTGTTTGAGCACTTGCTGGATTCTTCCTGCCGCTAGAGACCTGCCCCAGGACAGCAGCGCTTTCCCCCTTCTGGCTCATCAGGGGTTGTGAACACCTACTGTGTGCTTAGCATGGAATGGGCACTCCATTCACTTGGAGTAGCAGCAGATTAAAGAAAAATGGACTTCTGCTTGAAAAACAGTGCTATTTTTTTCCAGGAACTATGTTGAGTCAGCCAGTGATAACCATATACATGCCTTAATACCCAATTCCAGGCTGGTTGCCTTTCCCCTAATGCTACCTTATTCCAAGAATCAAAGAGGGTGTTTTACCTGATTCTACTCACAGTTGAAGACTTTCAGGGACAGTAAAGTTCTAGTTTTTGCTTCAGGATGGTATGTAAATAAGTGACTTTGGGAATAAATGGTAAAACATGCTAGAAATTTATTGAATCAAGAAATAGACTCCTCCCCACTTTTTTTTTTTTTGTACCTTCAATTGGACAAGTGAGAACCTTCAGATAGGTCATGCTTCCATTTAATCACATGGAATATTCTACATTTTTATACCCAATCCTAATTTCACATCTATCCAGACACTTTAAGGAATTCCAAATCTAGAATTCCAAATCTAGACATTTAAAAGGATACAAGGCCATTTAAATAAAAGGAAAGTCACAAATCAAAAACCTGAATAGCGTATTTTACATGAGTAGGTTCTTTTAAACGTCATACTTACTGTAACTTGAAGTAATCATTTACCGCCTCATACTTTACAGTCTGAGAAAATGTTATGAACTGAAAAAGGAAATAAAAAAGTTTATGCAAAACAGGAAAGCTGGGAATGGCATAAACAAATACTTTCAAGGCAGGTTTTAAATCTTTTTTTATGTAAGAAGAATAATATATTTAGCATTTTTAACCTATATTTTCCATTTCAGAAACTCCAATTATGTACATATTAGATTTGCTTTGTTACATTTCCCTTTTAATTTTTTGCGAGAGTTCTTTTATTTCTATTGCTTCCCTCTCCTTTCTCATTTGACTTTTGTCATTACAATATTCTTATTTTTACTTTTCATTTACCACCTGAGCACAGCAGATTTTTCACTTGTTTTCTAAAAACCTTGGCTCTGGCCCTTTTTGATTCTTCTTTGGGGGTTTTAAATGATTACAGATATCGTACACTCTGTAAGGAGCGCCAGTAAGTGGACTAGTTTCAAAGAAAAGTCTGCAGTCCTATATTAAAAATGGACTAACGAATGTGTATATTTATTTAAGTTAAAGTAAAATGTTTTGCATATATAATTTTGAATGATTTTCTGCTTTAGCCGACTTTGGTATTAACTGAACTCTTTCACTCCACCCTGTTGTAGAAGCTTGAGGAAGCTGGGCCTAGAAGAGGGAGTGAGGAATGGAATATACAATACTTGGGAAGATAGTGAAGTGATGTGTAAAATGCTTATGCAACCATACTAATTGGAAAAGTAGTGTACAAAACAGTGTCTCTAGGGTATCTCCACCCGCTGTGATAGAATGCTGGCAGAGATGGCTTGTCCTCTCGCTCATGTATACATATCCTTTACAGTTTGTACTTTTTCAAAGATTTTACTTATTTTTAGAGTGAGGGGAAGGGAAGGAGAAAGACAGAGAGAGAGACATAGATGTGAAATAGAAACATTGGTTGCTGCCTCTTGTATTCACCCCAACTCAACTGAACCCGCATCGCGGGCATGTGCTCTGATTGGGAATTAAACTTGAGACCTTTTGCTCTATGGGATGACGCTCAACAGACTGAGCTACACCAATCAGAGCTACAGTATACTTTTGCTGTTCTATTAACAGTCGGAGTCTATTTCCACATCCTATTAATCAGGGCTGACTTTGTGAATTCCCTTGATGAACAGAATGACATCAAACCTAGGCTTCAAGAGGCTTTCTAGCTGCCACTTGTACCATCCTGGAATGCTGCCCTGTGTCTGCCGCGCACAGAAGCCAGACTAGTGTGGAGGACAGAAGCCATGTGGGCAGAGACAAGTGCTCCAGCTGGAGCCCCTTGAAGTAACAAGCCAGTGCTTATGCCAACCACTTGATGTGTGAATGAGGCCGTCTTAGACCACCCTATCCCAGACAAGCCACCAGACAGCCAGAGTTTCATGAATGAACCCAGATGAAACCAGCTGAAATGCGCAGAAACTGATGACCCAAACTGCTCATGCGTAGAACTGGTTGTTTGCAGTCATTAGGTTTTGGGGTGGTGTCACGCCACAATAGAAGTAGAAAGAACTCTACAGAAAAACCAGGTGCTAAAAAAGTAAACAAAAGGAAGCAAGCAATGCAACTGATGATACTTCTGCAGGAATGTATTTTAAGTAGGAGAGAGGCCTTACATATTGAAAGTGAAAATCGTAGCTCGCAAATTAATGGCTTAATATATTATTGTATTATTTATTAAAAACATGTATATTTCTCAATATTTTCCAAGCTAAACCTAGGAGGGAGATCCATTTTAAAACTATTAACATTATACTTTTACATTTACTACAGTTAAATGAAGAAAATTTTAAAAAATCACTTACCATGGTTTTAGTGCAGTATCCTGAGACAATTTCATAGTGAATCTGTTTTTTGATTTTTAATAATTTTGGGCCATATGATTCGACAATAATATACAGACCAATATTTTCTGGGTAGACAATCTGAGCCCAGACTGTCAGGTTCTGTCCCTTGTCCAAAAAGTAAAAAACATAAAAAATATTAGTAGTAAATGCCACAAAAGGGCATTTTTCTTTTGTCTTTAAAGCTATACTCTGTATTTCTAGGACTATGGGAAATTCTTGTGGGGATACTGTGCCATGTTCAGAAACATACACGAGATATCCTTGAGCAGATGAATTCAAGAAAATGAGCGATTTTGTTGTGCTATTTGTCCATCGGTGTAGCTTTACTGCATCTTCAATATTAATCTTGAAAAAAAACATGATATTATTTTCCATTTTTACCACAATATTTCCATAGTAATCTGGAAAAGAAGAGAGAAAAGTTTGAGGTGTTCGAAGTAACCAGAAATCTACGCTATTTGCTATAAGTGGACTTTTAACCAAAACCATTTCTTTCGCATCGACTGTCTGCGTACATTGAGAAAACGGGGGGGTGCAGGCACACACCTGCAGCAGGATGCGAAGCTGGGAGACTTCTCTCCCCCTTCGCAGTGAAGGGCTGCTACCCCTGGCCACCTCTCTCCTTGCCTTCATCATATCACTTACGTGTCGTAGCATTTACAGAGAAAAAAGGAGCCAGAGTTAGTGCGTTAAATAAAAGTGAGGAGGAGCATGAGAGGAGTGGCATCATGAGGGAGCACTGTGTCCTGGAGGAAAACGCGTCGCCCCCTCTACCCCCCACTGCCAATGCCTGTGTTCAAGTCCTAAGTCCTATTGCGACTGTGTTTGGAGATAGTCTTTAAGGAGGTGATTCCGATTAAGTGAAGTCATAAGGGTGGGGCCCTAAACCCACAGGACTGGCGTCTTCATACGAAGAGGAAAAGGCACCAGATCTCTCTCTCCCTGTGCCCTCCCCCTCTCTCTTTCTTGGCAGGCACACAGAGGAGGGGCCGTGTGAGGACACGCCGTCTCCAAGCTAGGAAGAGAGTCCTCATCAAAAGCCAACCTTGGTGACACCTTGATCTTGGACTTCCAGCCTCCAGAACCATGGGAAAATACCCTGCTGTTGTTTAAGCCACCTAGTCTGTGGGGCTTTGTCATGGCAGGTCCTAGCAGAAGAATACAACTGTGATGAAGAAATGGGGGTAAGCCTGGCACCCCTTCAGGTTGACTCTGTAATAAGAGTAAATACTCTTCCCTTAACAGAGTATTATGTTTAAGTCATAGAGGTTCACAGACAGTAAGTCTCTCAACCTCTTTGGTTCTAGAGCCACATCTGGAAAGTGAATAGTTCGTTGATTTCCTGGCTTTCTTTTCAGATATGGCGTTCTCTGGGGACCACTTCTTGGGGTATCCTTTCTGTAATTTTCACAAAGGAACGCTTAGGCAGGTCTGGCTGAAAAGAAGAAGGTGGGTTCAGAGTTGGGGAGCTCAGAGGCTATTCTGCATCTGACATTTGGAATCTGAATAAACAAGTGACCTTTTCACAAATTACCATCAATTATATTCTAATTAAACTCCTAACTCAGAAATGTCATTTTTTTTTAGGATCACTAGTTGAATACCAGTGCCCACATACATTTCATGATGAAGCAAAGCTCCCATGTTGTTGTAACATTGTCAGTAGGGATTCAACAATATGACCACGTTCCTGAAATCGTCACACTGACAGGTGGAGTTAACATGAAGCCGGAACAACATTCAGAGTGTTCTAGTGAAGCTGCCAGGGTCACATGTCCTTAACGCTGAGCTAGCAACACAGGGACCAGACACCAGGGCTTTTACAGCTCTGTCACTGTGTGTGGGGTGAGCGTGAGGGTCAGGGGTTAGGGCTAGTGTGGTGCTTCCATAATTGGGGCGATAACAGCGACCAGGTAACTTTCCTCCAGTAACTCAGATTTCCTTACACAGTTAATTCTGCTTTGTTTGCTTTGGGCAAAGAATCCACCCAGCCTTACCAAATTCTTGGCCTGTTGTGCTTTGTGTGCGTTGCTAGAAATTTCACAAGGTGGAAGGGGAGAAAGACATGGGTGATGACGTAAAACATATCTCTGTTGAGTGACAAAAGTCATTGCAGGACACACAGCATGATGATATATAAATGTAGAACCTCACTCATATAAATGTATTGTTCGTGGATTTTATATAACAGTCGTGGGCATGTAAAATACGGCCTAAGAAAGAGAGTCCATGAAATCGTAAGAACTATGGACGGCACCGGAACTTACTGTGATGATCACTTTGTCGGATACAAATGTCTATCACTGTGCTGTATCCCTCAAACTGCTATAACGTTGTGTGCCATGTACAATGGGAAAAAGTCATTTGCACTGTGCTGTGCTTTCATAGGCATGCGGTGGCATCACATCTGCACACGTGCATGCTTTAACTAAAACACACTTTATGGCTGAAAAATGCTATCCATCCTCTGAACCTTCCGCAAGATGTGGCTTTTGCTGGTGGAGGGTTTTACTTTCAATGTTTAAAAAACAAAAATACTGTGAGGCCTAAAAAGAGAGGTGCATTAAGACACAGTATCCTTGTACTATTCCTTGAAGATTCACCACCTGCCCAGTATTGCCCTAGACATTTTGGATACAACCCCTTATCTACTTACGATGGTGGTCTTATGTTCTAGATCAGAAAACTGAGGCTTGGAACACTTAAATGACTTGTTCATGGATTTAAATACAACTCTGTTTAACTCTACAATATCTGTTATTTTTTAAAGGTTTAAAAATTTTAAAAATATATTTTATTTACTTAGAGAGAGTGGAAGGGAGAGAGAAACATCAATGTGTGGTTGCCTCTCATGTGCCGGCCCCCACCCTCCGCCCCAAGGGACCTGTCCTGCAACTCAGGCATGAGCCCTGACTGGGAACTGAACCAGCCATCCTTTGGTTCACAGGCCAGTGCTCAGCCCATGGAGCCACATCATGCAGGGCTGTTGATACCTAGTATAGGGTGAACTGTGTTCCCCTGCAAAAAGAAATGTTGAAGCTCTAACTCTTGGTACTACTTCAGAATGTGACCTTTTTTTTCGGAAATAGGATCATCGCGAAAGCGATTTGTTAAGATAAGGTCATATTGGAGTAGGGTGGGCCCCGTTGCCATTATAACAAGATGGCATGTGAAGACACAGGGAGAATGGTATGTGATGACAAAGGCAGAGTTTGGAACCATGTGGCTGCAGCCAAGGAATGCCAAGGTCTGCCAGAAGCACCAGAAGCTCGGAAGAGGAAGGAAAGATTCCTCTTCCAGTTTCAGAGGGAGCATGGCCCTTCCCACACCCTAAATGCAGATTTCTAGCCTCTGGAACTGGGAAGCAACACATTTCTGTTGCATTCAACCACCTGGTTGGGTACTGAGTTATGGGAGCCCTAGGAAACCAATACAACACATCACCTCCTACACTAAGATGTGTGAGCTGCTGAGTTAGCATCTAATGATGGACCAAAATGAACCTGTGAAACAGAGAACTTCAGTTTGCCATTTTTCTATGTGAGATCACAGTTATTGTTAGTAGAAGCCATTTTTAGGTGCTACAAAGTACACCTTTACCTATCAAAAGCATCATATATTAGTGCATTTAAAATCGCTACATCTTCATCAAGAGAGATGTCTGTTAGGAAGTCTAGGATACTTTTTGCAAAATGAGAATGCCTCACCTACAAAAACATCATGAATAATACTTTCATGTGATAATTCTGATAGATTTCCAAATGTTGTAGGTGTTTGTACAACTCCAGTATTAGTGAAATTGTTGTAACAATAGTAGACCCTGTGTTTGTCCCATAGTATAAATTCTGGCAATGCTGAATAGAGAAAGAACAGCTTTAGAAAAGTGTCAGCCATGACATTCAATACAAAGTCTTGGAGGACCCACTGTTCTGAATCTTCATTGTATATCACTAGATGTATCTTTTTGGTGACATCACATGTAATGCAGTAATTCAATAACAAGCCAAGTTCCAAAGGGTGTCCTGTGTAGGCCACATTGTGTACAGTCAGAGCACCAGCTGGGGGCATGTTTATACTTTTCCTCAGTGTTTCAGTAGTCATTATTTTGATGAATTGAAGTGAAGGATATCCAAGGTAAACTTCATTTTTTGTCCAGACGACCATGATACTTCTTCCTTTTCCGGTCTGTGACAAGATCGAAAATAATGTGAAAATCTTCAATTTCAGGCATAGTCTTAACAAAGTAAAGTAAAACATAGTCATTTGTAAGGTTTCATTTTTAGTATACTTCTGACAAATACTTCAAGCATAGAAATACATGACACAGAAATATGTCATTACATATCACCATAAAAATAAGTTATGCCAGTAACTTTATTCTTTTATACATTGTTTTATCAATAGGAAGAATTAATCTTAATTCTCCTTTACGTATTCAAAGAGCATCAATCTTCTCTTACGTATTTATGTACTCTGGCCAGGAGTGCCTCTTTGACCTTGATATTTACTAAGGTCAAGCTATAAGGACACCTCAAACGTTAAATTATTCTCAGAATTCTAGCTTCATTGGATACCAGATAGAGAAAAAGAGAACTTAAAAGTTTAAGCAAATCAACACTACCCTTTTCAGGATATAGTCTGTTAGAGAAAATGGCCATTCAGAGATGCCTAACTTCATTCAGAGAGCCAAGTCCCCCCTTCTCCAGCTGTTTCTAATTCTTAGAGATTTTTATTCAAAATGTAACTTCTATGTCCATGACCACAAAAAGAAGTCTTTTGGGCACATCTTGTTTCTCTTACTTTAATTAATTTACAAATATTTAGTGTATAATCAAATAAGATGTAGACAGATACCAAACTGGTAACCAAGTGAAAGAGACTGTTTGGTGTAAAAAGTATTTTTATCAAATGAAGATTCAACTTCAAGTCTAGAGTTTATGTTGCTGGAGTAGAGTGTGAAACAATCCTCGAAGAGGAAACAGACCGTCTATCCTAAATGATGAGCCCTTTACAGCAAAGACTCAAAGCCATTCTCATTCTTGGCAGAGGGATGGAAAGGGAAATGTGCCGTAAACACGACAGATGGAAATTCCAAGGTGCCCCAGAGGTGAAATGAGTTTTCACTCACCCACAAACTCTTTCCATAGTTCTTTCCTTAGTGCTTGCGTGTAGTAAACCAAGGATCTTGGGGCAAGGCAGGGGAGCTGGGAGCCCCTCTGAAGCATTCAGGGCTTCTTGCAGCTGTAATGTGTGCACCTCTGAAGACAGGGAGGGGCAGGCAGCAAGGAGTAAAGCTGAGAGAGATCCACCTGCATTCTGGGTTCTCAGGCGTCCCAGGCTGGGAGTGGAATGAGAGAGCTGAGAGAAACTCCCCTCTGAGACGTGCTTGGCCTTTCCCCAAAGTGTGAAGCAGTCTCCCTTCCAAGACTGGGGACAGGGAAGCAGGAGAGAAAGAGAGACCTGCCAAGGCACAAAAATCCAAGGGCAGAGGAGTGAGAAAAGAGAATTCCTCCGTGATAAAAAGGCCGACTGCTAGGCTGTAAGGCAGAGGCAGTGCCCTCACAGTTTGGAATGCTTGTGACTCAGCTGTGAGGTAGGAGGAGATCTGTGGAATCTTGTCAGTGCTGAGATCTCAAACATGGTGAAAGGAAAAATAACTATGAAAAAAATGGTGAAGGGTCCAGTGGGGAAGATAGGCAACATGAGTGCAGAGATGGGGGATCAGCTGAGAAACGTAAATGATGGGGATGAAGAAAATGGAAATGCGAGAAATAAACAAATATGTTGGGAATAAAGACATTATTAGATAAATTTAAGAGTAAACTAGAAACAGAAGAAGAAAGGAGCAGCGAACTTGAAGACAGTTAACAGCATTTATACAAACTGAAGTACAAAGAGAAAAGCAGAGTGAAAAAACATCAACAGGTGGTCTGAGATCTGTGGGGCAATATTAAATGGTGTCACATGTGTGTCGGGAACCCCAGAAGGAGAGGAACAAAGAATGGTGCAAAAGAAATATTTGAAGAAATAATGTCCAAGAATATCCCCAAATTAATGAAAGACATGATCCTAGAAATCCAAGCAACTCAGTTGAGCCTTAATAGGATAATATAGGCTGAGGCAAAGGTAGGTTTACCATTGTGAGTATGAGAGATACAGAATTTATTCTTGTACTATTATTCATTAATTATTGTGTTTTCCATACGAAGAACTGTAAACCTACTTTTGCTCCACCGTGTATAAAGGAAATCATACCTAGTCACATAATAAAAGTGCTGAAAATCAAAGATAAAGAACAAGTTCTAATAAAAGCAGCTATGGGTAAAAAAAGATACATTATATATATGTATATATATACACATATATATACATATATATATATATAATGTATATATATTACATTACATGATTCATATATATATATGAATCATGATGTGAATAATGGCTGCCTTTCTACCCCAAAATGACGGAGGCCAGCAAATAACAGAATGAGGTCTTTATAAATAGTTGACAACAAACACAAAAACAACAACAATAAACCACCTGCCATTCTGTAATTCTCTATTCAGTGAATGCCCTTCAAACATGAAGGCAAAATAAATAAATAAAGGCACTTTTACACAGACAAATGCTGAGAGAACAGCATTGCCATACAACTTGCCATACAGGAAAACTTAAAGACATGCTTCAGGCTGAAGAGAAACGTAACCAGGAGGAACTGTGGGGTTGCTGATGGACACGAAGCACAACTTTACATGAAGTTACATGTAAAAGGCTGATTTTGCTATTGGCTTTTACTTATATCTCTTCATGCGACTGGACTTTCAAAGCAGAAATATTACCATATTTTTGGGACTGATAGCTTACTGAGCAGTCAAACGTGGGACAAGAGTACCAAGGGTGGGGTATACACGGAACTGCGCAGTGATGAGGTGTGCATGTTGTTGGGAAGTATACCTAGTGTTTGGAGTTGGACTCTCCAACTCCAAATCAAAGAGGTTGACTGTAAAGTCAAGTGCAACCACTAACAATAGTTTTGAGTCAAAAAATTAATACAGGAGGCAACATGGAAACACTACAAAGTACACATTTTACCCAGGAGAAGATAAGGAAGGAGAAACAAAGGAAATAAGAATAATCAGGATTAGCCCTGGCTGGTGTAGCTCAGTGGATTGAGCACGGGCCTGTGAACCAGAGGATCACGGTTCGATTCCCAGTCAGGGCACATGCCTGGGTTGCAGGCAGGTTCCCTGCAGGCCAGTTCCCTGCAGGGGATGCACTAGAGGCTACCATACATTGATGTTTCTCTCCCTCTCTCCTTCCCCTCTAAAGATAAATAAATAAAATCTCAAAAAAAATTATTAAATAAAAAAAAAAAAGAAGAATCAGGATTAATGGAAAACGAATGCCAAGCTGGTGGACTTAAACCCAAGACAGAGCAGTCAGTCCATGAAATTCATGTGGACCAATCGCTACAACTTGAAGGCAGAGATTGTCATGCTGGGGAAAAAGCCAGACCCTAGTTTGAAGCCCGGTTGTTAAGTGCACACACATTTAGAATTTTTATGTCTTCTTGATGCATTGACACTTTAATCATCATATAATGTCCTTCTATATCCCTGATTATTTTCCTAGTTTGTCTGACATTAATAAAGTCACTCCCGGTTTCTTTAATAAGTGTTTATATGGTATCTCCTTTTCTAATATATTACTTTGAATCCAACTACATCCTATATTTAAAGTAGGCTTCTTGTAGGAAAACATACAATTTTGTCTTTTTGAAAATGTCCAATGTGACAGTCTTTCCCTTTTATATCTCTGGATTACTGCTATAGGCCTCTACCTTTCCTCTTAGAATTTTCCTTACTTCCATATTAGTCCAGTTATGTGCTTAAAAGAAGGTTTAAAATTGTTATGCAGCATTTTACATGTTTTGTAATGCTACAGCTTAAGGATATTTTATTCACTATATTGTCAGAAATTAAAGAGTTAATTCATTTCTGAGAGCAGATGTAGTTTTCGTTTGGGGAAAAAAACATTTTTGACTTTGCCTGAGTCAGGGTAAAACAAAACAGCCCTAAAATGACTGAATGATTCTGCATAATAATATACACGATTCATCTTATTCTGTGTTGTCAGGCTCTTTACAACCATAAATAAAATAATTCTGCAAAATTACTGCATAGTATCGTCTCTAATATATCACTGAATGAAAAGGCATGGTAAACATACCTAAATGTGTAAGCGTACTATACACATATGTAATATTTTACTAACCTTCATTAAATATTTGGGCCAACACCATTTTCTTGATGCAATGCCAACAATTCCACTTTCAGGAAGGTTTTCTTTGCTTCCCAGTCTTATGAAGGCAGAATCAGTTTTTACATAAAGGACATCATTTATTAAAATAAAAATTATATTGTAGGATATGACCACAGCAGACACACTGTGTCTCTCGCTGTCGGTGAGGCTGTGCGGCGGCACTCTGATTCTGGTCCACGTGCGAAACGAATCGTTGGTTTGAAAGGTCTCGGTGTCGGCTACCACCACGGCAGACAGAAGAACACAAGCTTCCCAGGAAGACAATAATGGACTACCACGTGGTACAGTGATGGGTAAAGAGCCAGGAAGCTCAGGTATTGTAGGGAAAGCAAAACTCAGCAGGAAAAAATAATTTGCAACAAAGCAGTCTTGAAAAGACACCTGGTTTCCCCTAATCTCTTTTAGCATGTCATCCCTCTCCATTGGTAGATAAACGCTCCACGCCCTAAGAAGAGGGAAATAGAAAATAGAAGGAGAAAACGGTCTCTTTCTCGTCTCTCAACCGTCTTGCGACAATGCTGGCATTTATCGCCTTTTAACCATTTTTGCGTTTTCGTGAACATACATCTCGGTAAAATAAGTCAAATAGTATGAAAATGCTACCCTTTTCTCCTCATTCTTCACCCTTGTTTCCAAAGGAAAACAATCTTGACTCATAATGCTCTTTTGCGATGTGTCTTCATAGTCTCAATAAATATTCTTATACTGCTCTTCCCATAGAAGTTTTATACGTTATCTGTTGACGTCTTATATGACAAATGAAGACAGATCTCATAGGATATACCCACCAATACAACTTCTTTTTCCTCAAATTAATATCATGATGTTTACCTAAGTGTATAGTGTTTATATTGTTATTGTATAGATAACAATATAATGTATAGACTATATACATTATATTGTTATATGCATTGTATAACCTATACATTATGTAATCTATAATGTATAGATTGCTTACTACTGAGCCAGTGACTATGCTGTAATTGTAACCTTTTATAAATATATTATTTCCAATATTTTCCCTAGAGTTAATAATTATTTCTTTTAAAACTTGGTTTAGTTTTCTAACTTTTCCGATAGATAGCTGAAATGGCAATCCATGATGTTTTCCATGTGGTAAGTGCAAAGTTATCTTGCACTTGATCCCTGAGACTTCCTTCATTTCTCTGCAGGTCCAGGCCGCCATGGACCGGATCCAGTCCCTTGATCTTTCCTGTTTTGCTAAAGCACATTCTTCAGTAAGTACCTCTTTGCCAAAGGGCTTGTGAATATAAATTTTTGAGGTCCTGATATCCAAACATATCTTTTACACACTTCCTTGAGAATTTGGCTCAGTAGTGACGTCAGAACTTTGGCGGCAGGCTCTGCAGCCTCTTTGTATTTAGGTTTCCTAATGAGAGTGACACACTGATTCTCATCATTGACATGGGTCGCCCTCCCATAAGCTTTTAGGATCTCCCCCTTTTCCCTTCGCATACTAAACTTGGATGGGGCTGGGTCTTATCTTCTGAAGTGGGCACCCTCAGAGGAATTTGCAAAAACAAGCACTCTGACATACATCCTAGAAGCTAGGAAAAGTTCTCCAGGGCCTTTCTCCACAGGCCCGTCCAGGAGACCACAGGCTGTGGGAACACTTCCTAACTCACTCTACGAGACCAGTATTATCCCAATACCAACATTAGATAAACATGTTACAGGTACAGCTACAGACCTTTTGAATCCAACAACATTTACAAATAATTATATACTTTGGCCAAATGGGACTTACCCTCGTTATGCACATACGGTTCGACATTTAAAAATCAACTAATGTAACCCTTCACATCAACAGGTTAATAAAGAAAATGCATCTAATCATATCAATAAATGCCTAAAAAGCACTTGACAAAATCCAACACTCATTCATGAAAAACTCTCAGCAAACTAGCAACAGAGGGGAACTTCAACTTGATATTGAAGCATCTATACAAAAAAACCCCCACCAAACCATGAAGAGGAGAAACTAGATCCTTTCCTCCTAAGAACAAGGAACAAGACAAAATGCCTTTTCTTACCACTCCTATTCAACATCACATTGGAAGTACACATTGTATGTTTTAGCTATAAGCATATTGACCTGTGCCTGGGTGTTCAAAAGGTTAAGGCTGTCTGAACCCTACGATCGATAATTTACTAGCATGACGGTAACAGACTTTACTTCTCAGGGGGGATTTGTGATGTGTGGTTTGTGTATGTTATGTGCCTGTGCCCCAAGAGCACAGGTGGTGACATTGTGACAGCCCAGCACTGTGTCTCATTTTTATGAACCAGCAAGAAACATTTCAACATACTGCCCCGGTTTGCCACCATGCTGAAGGAGGCTCTTGGGTTGAGGTACAGCTATTAATGGGAGTTGTAAAACTAGAACCCAGGCTTCTGACTAGCATTTTCTGGGTTGGTAACTAGTTCTCACTCTCACAAGTGAACTTTCATTTTTTTCTTTTTTGTATCATAAAAGAATTTACTTGGAAATTACACGTGAAGTATTCCATGAAATTCCACTAGGGCTTTAAAATCTCTCTCACTTGAAGTCTCTGAGAGTTTCTTACTGAATTTTAAAGATGAATTTTATATTTGAAAATTAAAAATTAAATACCCATTCTCCAATTTTTCATGGGGAAAATAATTTTTTCTCTTCAGAAACGTATGGACGACTGGCTCCTGTCCCAAAGCTGTCAACTGCTTGCTGAGCATATTGGAATTCTGTAAAAAAAAAAAAAAATTACTTTTTCTTTTCCTAGCCAAGTTTATTTGGAAATTAAATTGTTATATTGAATTTATTATTTTAGTTAAGACATTGTTTACATTTACAATTTACCACATTTTCAATATTTGGGTTTGCTTTTTTCCCTACCACTTGGCTTCCTCCCCATTAGAATTTATGAATTATAATTAAGTCATAATACAGTTTCCAACATGTTGAACATACTATGCACAATCAGAATCCCAAATAAACAGGTTTTATACCCTTAAATAAAATACCCGCAGTTATAATATGAAATACATAATGAAGCTTCTAAAACTAATCTGTTACAATTATTTCTAGGACTTCCGCCAAGATGGAGGTATAGGTGGATGTGCTGTGCCTTCTCACACAACCAAGTTTAGGGACAACTAAATATTAGCATCAGAAAACACAACCAGAACACGGAAAATTGAACTTTTCAGAAGTCCATTAACAACAAATTCTTCAGCCCGACCGGTAAGCGGCGAAACCGGCGTCTCGCGAGGGGTTGCACAGGAGGACTGAGTCGGACCCGGGCGCGGAATCCAGACGCGCGAATCCAGACGCACGGGTTCCAAACCCAGGATTGGACCTAGTGAGCGACCGAGCAACCCACCGGGTGAGTGACTGCAGAGGAGACAGTGGGGAGGCGGTGCTGCGTGTTGACTGCGGTTGCCTATTTGCGGGTGAGCGGACAGGCGAGGGGGTGGGCGGTTGGACCGGGGCCCAGCGTCCCCGCGGCAGGCAGCGGTAGAGGGCGCCGCCATTTCCCTGCTCTGACCACGCCCCCACATACAGCGTCACAACCCAGCGACCTGGGAGTCCAAGGCACCGCTTCTCACACTTAAAGGGCCAGAACAGACCAAAAATGTCGCAGGAAGACCTCAAAGCCCCAGAGATAAATCTAAGCGACGAAGAAATAGCAAAACTCTCAGACGCACAGTTTAAAACACTGGTCATCAGCTTCCTCACAGATCTGGTGGATTATAGCCACAAATTAGAGAAACATATGAAGGCTAAACTAATGGAAATGAATGGAATTCCACAGGAAACCCATAGTGTTGAAAAGGAAACTGGGACTCAGATCAATGGAGTGGACCAGAAGAAAGCAAATAATGGCCAAACAGAAAAGAGTCAAGGAGCAAGAATTCAAAGAAATGAGGAGAGACTTAGGAACCTCCAGGACATCTTTAAACGCTCCAATATCCAAATTATAGGGGGTACCAGAAGGGGGGAAAGACACAACCACCAGTGGAAAACTTATTTGAACAAATAATAAAAGAAAATTTCCCCAATCTGGCAAAGGAAATAGACTTCCAAGAAATCCAAGAAGCTCAGAGAGTCCCAAAAAAGTTGGACTCAAGAAGAAACACACCAAGGCATATCATAATTACATTAGCCAAAATTAAAATGAAGGAGAGAATCCTAGAAGCAGCAAGAGCTAAGGGGACAATCACCTACAAAGGAGTCCCCATCAGACTGTCAGCAGATTTCTCAAAAGAGACCTTACAGGCAAGAAGGGGCTGGAAAGAAATATTCCAAGTCATGAAATCTAAAGACCTACAACCAAGATTGCTCTATCCAGCAAAACTTTCATTTAGAATGGAAGGACAGATAAGGTGCTTCTCAGATAAGATCAAATTCAAGGAGTTCATCATCACCAAGCCCTTATTATATGAAATGTTAAAGGGACTTATCTAAGAAAAAGAAAATAAAAAAGATGAACAGTGAAAGGACAGCAAACTTACAGTTATTAACAACCACACCTAAAAGGAAAGCAAACTAAAAGGACAGCTAGATCAGGAGTGGAAACATAGAAATGAAGATCTCAGGGAGGGTTAGCAACAGGGGAGTGGGAGGAGGAGATGGGGGGAGAAGGTACAGAAAATAAGTAGCATAGACAGTAGATAGAAAATAGATGGGGGGGCAAGAATAGCATGGGAAATATAGAACCTAAAGGACTTGAGACACATGGACATAAACTAAAGGGGGGTAATGGTGGGGATGGGGGGGCAGGGTGGAGGGGAATGAAGGGGGGAATAGAACAACTGTAACAGCATAATCAATTTAAAAAAATAAATAAAAAAAAATTTTAAAAAAAGAATTATTTCTATATGAACCTGCCTTCAAAGCGACATAACTCTTTGAAGGCAGGTTTCAAATGGTTACCGAACCCAACCAGTGCGGGGGAGCGGGGGGCGGGGGGGGGGGCGGAGGTCCTACCGCTCACAGTCTACCAGACAAATCTCCAAAGACAGAGTTCCGTGGGAAAGAAAGGAATCTTTTACTTAATGGCAAGTTTCTGCCTAAGATATCTGGGTAACAAAAGTATGGGGAAAGGAAAAGTCAGAGTATGACATCAAGAATAGCTACTTAAATATTTGTCACTACAACTCCTGCATAGATTCAAGAACAAAAAATAACACAAGAGCAAAAACCTGTTCACACTGCTGACTGTCATCCCCAAGGTCTTTGGAAATAATGGCAAGTTTCTGCCTCCAATGCCCATTCCTTCTAAGGCATCTAAAGAAAAATCACCCTGTCACCCTCAGCCAGCTCAGTTCAAGGTTGCGCCAGGAATCTCTTTTCCCACCCAAAAGTATCATAAAAGTAGGTGGCTTAGCTGGTCTCCAGTCACTGTGTAGGCCCAGGCATCTTTCGGCGTCTGCGACCCCAGGTATCTGTGACCCCACGTATCTGCTCACAGGTCCGCAGCAGCCACTGTTGGCAAGCCCCGCCCCAAAGGGAAAAGCCAACTAACTTTTGGTGTCTGGTGTGCTCTGTTTTCAAAAGTCCTCTCCCAGAAGCCCATGACGGCCAAAACCCAGTGGGAGTGTTCAGCCTTGCAACCAATGAGGGCCCGGCTGTGTTTGCCTTTGCCCCGCTTCCTTCCACTCTCCCCCCCCCCCGCCCCCAACCACATTTAGAAGGTGGCCAGGTCTCCAGTTAGCTCAAGCCCCTCCCCCATTTCCAGGTGAGTTGTCCCCCTCCCCCCATTACAAAATGATACCTGGAGGCTTTAACAAAAATTCTCTTAGTATACAGATGTGACATGCTCCCTCTTTTTCACATGAGATTTAAGGAGGAGTCGAATTGACTGGAATTATCCCTAATAAGGCTTTTTTAGAATAGAGGCAATAGTTTTATTATGGGTATTATGGGAATCCCTAGAATTAAAAAATCAGATAATGAGGGTCAGTCTAGAATTCTGTAGCTTCCTTCTGCCCTAGTCCTCCAGTAATACTCCCGTGTAATTTCCTAGAGCTAGGTCAACTACCTACAGAGGAGCCTTTGGGATGCCACAGTCGGCATCGGCAAGGGCGTGTGGCTGGACCTGGGTGTGTCAAACAGGAGAATTTAATCTGTTTTGGAGATCAGGAGTGGTGGTCAGGTAAGGCCTCCCTGAGGGGTACACATTTAATCATTTTGAAAGAGAAATACAGGTTTGTCTGGTAAATAATGAATAATATGAAGTACAGTTTTTTTGTCTCAGAATTTTAAATACAACTATCTTTCATGTAACTATAAAGAAAAAGGGTAAATGAAATACTCTTAACGTGGCTTGGATAAGATGGAAATAAAATATAATAAGCAAGACAGACAACAAGATGATAGAAAAAAAGGACAAGCCAAGAAAATGTTAAGACAATCTTTAACTCTCATTTGGCAGATATCAACAAACTTAAAAACATGTTTTTTCATTAAAAGAATGATTTATAGCATTAAAGAGAATTTTATAAATATGGGAAAATTACCACATAGAAGTTATCAAAAAATAAAAACACATTTAGTGTATTTTCTTAGGATTCACCAAAGGTAGGGTACTATTTTACATTCAAGTTGTATAAACAGAAGTCTATATAAATGATAGAAAAATATTCCATTCAGCGAATTATCATCATTGATTTAATCCCTTACTGGACATGTAGGTAGTTTTATTTTTTTCACCATTTTTAATATTATAGCCACAGACACCATCAGCTATACAGTCTTTTCCACAGTTAGGACTATTCCTCTTTCGATTAGATTCTTGGAAGTGTGATTATTAGGTCAAAAGTTATGAATATTTTTAAGATTCTTGATACATATTACCAAAGGATTTCTAAAGGACTATGACAATGAACATTATTACTAGTAACCAATGAGTCCATTCTGTTTGTAATAGAGCACCATGGAAAGAGTTTAGGAAATGACATGGTCATGAATAAACATGAAAGTTAAAAAGAGCAAAAAAGCAAATTAATAGATATGCACGGATCAAATGTTAAAATGTGCATATTTTCATTTGAAAAGATTAGAAATGAAGTAACAACAATGCTCTAAGTATTCAGTCACCATTAGTTTTTTTTATTCTCTCTGAAGTTGATTGCCAAATCAAACAATTGATTGATTGTCGTTCTGACTTATCAGTCTACCGCTTGTGAATTTGATTACCATACATTATAATAACACTATTGAAAATCAGATCTTGGATCATGAACACATATTAATGAGAAACTAAAACTGCTCATTTTATATTTCTCTTCAGTACAGTTTATTATAGTTGAAGACAGAAAATGCTTGGAAGAGGTGAATTTGCGACAAATAGGAAAAGGCTTGTTTATCCTCCATGTTGCACCTTTAGGAAATTCATTAGTCTGTAAGTGACAGAGGGCTCAATAAGGGGCCGGATACAGTTTTGAAAGGTGACTTCAAAATAGATGCTCGAGGGACAGCTGTAAAGCACTTTATAAAGGTCAGCGTCCTCATAAATGATGAAATTGGTAGAAAATGCAACAAATGCTCAGAAAACAATTCTAAAGAAAAATTTACAATTGTAGCAATCAAGCACAAATGCAAAATCACTTTAATGACTACACTCAACTTATTGGATAAGTAAAATATATTTAGTTAGTTTTGGATACCTTAAAATAAAATATTCACAATATTCACAGCCCTTACAAAAGAAATGTAGCCTACTATTTTATGGATGATAATAATGATTGTACCTACTGGTGACGGCGATTCTGCTTCCCATACCAGCTCACTGGGGTCTGCATTTTCTGGGTCGTATACCCATATAATGATATTCTACAAAATAAAATGTTTGCATTGCTTTCAAATTTGGATACGTTTCATTTTCAGTTGTGGCCAAACATAACTACAAAAACTGTGCTTACAAATTTTTGATGATCCCATTTAAAAAATAAAACGATGTGCTGTTTTTAACAAGTGAAACCACCCAAAGACGTGTGAAGGAAGAGCTGATGATATTCCTCCGCACTCCCGAGGGAACCGCTAGCCTTTCACAAGGATGCTCGTCCACCTTTCTCTGCATTCACAAGTGGACACAGCACGCCACCATTCACACACGCACACACATTTAACAAAAGTGAAACCACACCGCACAGGTTATTTGAAAACTTGCTTTTATCGCTGGATACACCAGGGCCATTTCATTAGCTGTAGATCTAATTCTTTTCTTTGTTATTTGTTTTTTCTTGAGGAGCCAATTTATTCACACAATTAAAACAAATGATATAAAAATATACAGCAAAGACTGGCCCTGCCCGCACTGTACTTCAACACTCATTTCTGTAAGTTCACTACATCTCACAAATAACTACTCTTAGTAAGTTCTTGTTCATAGCTCTATCAAATTAATGTGCATAACCAATAAAGATATTTTTTCTCCACAGAGAGGAGGCTGGAAAAGGGTGGACCTCATGGACCTCCTGAAAGGTGGTGGACCCCTTAGGGTCCTCACACCAATCCTTGAGCACTGTGGGTCTAAGCAACTTTTGTTGAAAAATTAGTTTGAAAAATTTGTCTTCGGGTAAATACGGAATATAATCTGAAAATATTATAGTAGTCATAAAAGAAGGGTATACACGCTCTGGCTGGTGTAGCTCAGTGGATTGAGCGTGGGCCTGCAAACCAGAGGATTGCAGTTAGATTCCCAGTCAGGGCACATGCCTGGGTTGCAGGCCAGTTCCCAGCAGGGGATGCACAAGAGGCAACCATACATTGATATTTCTCTCCCTCTCTCCTTCCCTTCCCCTCTAAAGATAAATAAATAAAATCTTAAAAAAAAAAAAGAATATACAAAGTTAAAAATTTTTTTTTACCTGAATTAAAACCTCAGGGAAATTTCTGTTGGGAAAAAGAGGAATCATTTTAATAAACGATATATTTAATAAATGTATACATTTATTATACCTGTCTTATATTAAATTATACAGGTATATATTATACATTATATATACCTGTCTCTAAATCTCAGAATCTTCTCTTTATGTTCCATTATAGATGCATCATTAAATGCTAAATGTAAAAAAAAACCCCTACATGTGTCTATAATTAAATATAATCAGGATTCTCAGGCGTCATCACAGAAGGCTGAGAGGCCTGAATCTGCATGCTTCCTTAACAACGTGCACCTTAACAACGGTGCACATTCAGAGAGCAAAGACCATGAGTAATCTTTACAAATCTGACTGTATCATTCCATGTCCACAGCAATGGAAAAGCTCCACAGAGCCACAAGGTGGTTCCCTGAAGAGACTAATAAGATAAGTAGAGAAACACCCCTTGGAAGAAGAACAAGGCAACAGAGGGGAGACACAAATAAAAATGTTAGAAATGTTAAGACACAAAACTACAGCTACATCAGAGATGCAACAAAAACAAGAGGACGTTACGGGCAACCTGACGACACTGAACTTTCTACCAGCATTGCTAACTGAAGATGTCAGATTCCCAGAGAAAATTCTACCGATGAAAATGGATTTTACGAGAATTTAATTCCAAACTCGCACCATAACCATGAAGTCAATCAATAGTTAGGAAATCATTCTGTCCCTAACCCCACCCCAAAAAAATCTAGATTCAAGTGGATTTCTATGCTAGTTTCCACCAAATACTCAAGGACTATGTATTTCTGATCTTACGCAAAATCTGTCAGAGGAAAGAAAAAAACGACGGTTAACTTCCACAATGAGTCTAGCATAACCTTGTCACTAACAGTAGAAAAGGATGGTGTAAGGGGAGTCGGATCACAGGCCACACCCACTCGTGAATATTTACACACAAAACAGTAAACAAATACTTAGCAAATCAAATCCACCAGTGTGCAGGAAAGATAATTCATCAACACCAAGTTGGATTATTCTAGAAACACAAGGTCTGCTTAATACAGAAATATTAATGACTTATTCACCAGACTAATGTATTCAAGGAGGAAAGCCATATGGACTTTTAAGTGGAAGCAGAAAAAACTTCAAAGAGCTTTCAACACCAAAATTCACACAAAAAATTCACTGCCAAAATCCCAAATTCCTTGGGATAAAAAGGAAACTTCCCTAACTGGGTAAAGGTTACCTTGTAGCCTGTAACAAACATTATGCAAAATAGTGAAATGATGGCCACCTCCCTTTGGAGATCAGAAATAAGATGAGAAGCCTGCAGTGATGTGTCTTGGAAACACCGTGTTCTGGCCGTGCCGCAGGGATAAAAGGAACAAAAGGTACACGCATTGGAAAAAAATAAACGTCATTTTCAAGTGATATGGTTTGTAAAAACTCCCAGAGGATATATAAATACGTTATTAGAATTGATATAAGAATTTTGTGAGACTTCCGCCAAGATGGAGGTTTAGGTGGATGTGCCGTGCCTCCTCACACAACCAAGTTTAGGGACAACTAAATATTAGCATCAGAAAACACAACCAGAACACGGAAAACTGAACTTTTCGGAAGTCCGCTAACAACAAATTCTTCAGCCCGACCGGTAAGGGGCGAAACCGGCGTCGGGTGAGGAGTTACAAAGGAGGGCTCGGTCGGACCCGGGCGCGGAATCCAGACGTGCGAATCCAGTCGCACGGGTTCCAAACCCAGTGGGGAGGTGGTGGCACCGAGTTGACTGTGGTTGCCTAATTGCGCGCGAGCGAGGGAGTGAGCGGTTGGACTGGCGGCGAGACACGCCGCCATTTCCCCGCTCTGACCACGCCCCCACATACAGCGTCACAACCCAGCGACCTGGGACTCCAAGGCGCCGCTTCTCCCACTTAAAGGGCCAGAACAGACCAAAAATGTCGCAGGGAGAACTCAAAGCCCCAGAGATAAATCTAAGTGACGAAGAAATAGCAAAACTCTCAGACGCACAGTTTAAAACACTGGTCATCAGCTTCCTCACAGATCTGGTGGATTATAGCCACAAATTAGAGAAACATATGAAGGCTAAATTAAGGGAAATGAATAGAATTCCACAGGAAACCCATAGAGATGAAAAAAAAACTGGGACTCAAATCAATGAAGTGGACCAGAAGGAAGAAAAAAATGATCAAACAGAAAGGAATGAAGAAATAAGAATTCAGAAAAATGAGGAGAAGCTTAGGAACCTCCAGGACATCTTTAAACGCTCCAATATCCGAATTATAGGGGTACCAGAAGGGGGAAAGACACAACCACCAGTGGAAAAACTATTTGAACAAATAATAAAAGAAAATTTCCCCAATCTGGCAAAGGAAATAGACTTCCAAGAAATCCAAGAAGCCCAGAGAGTACCAAAAAAGTTGGACTCAAGAAGAAACACACCAAGGCATATCATAATTACATTAGCCAAAATTAAAATGAAGAAAAGAATCCTGGAAGCAGCAAGAGGTAAGGGGACAATCACCTACAAAGGAGTCCCCATCAGGCTGTCAGCAGATTTCTCAAAAGAGACCTTACAGGCAAGAAGGGGCTGAAAAGAAATATTCCAAGTCATGAAATCTAAAGACCTACAACCAAGATTGCTCTACCCAGCAAAACTCATTTAGAACGGAAGGACAGATAAGGTGCTTCTCAGATAAGACCAAATTCAAGGAGTTCATCATCACCAAGCCCTTATTATATGAAATGTTAAAGGGACTTATCTAAGAAAAAGAAGTTAAAGAAACATGAACAGTGAAAGGACAACAAACTCACAGTTATTAACAACCACACCTAAAAGGAAAGCAAACTAAAAGGACAGCTAGATCAGGAGTGGAAACATAGAAATGAAGATCTCAAGGAGGGTTAGCAACAGGGGAGTGGGAGGAGGAGATGGGGGGAGAAGGTACAGAAAACAAGTAGCATAGACAGTAGATAGAAAATAGATGGGGGGCCGGAATAGTATGGGAAATATAGAACCTAAAGGACTTGAGACACATGGACATAAACTAAAGGGGGGTAATGGTGGGGTTGGGGGGGCAGGGTGGAGGGGAATGAAGGGGGAATAGAACAACTGTAACAGCATAATCAATTCAAAACAATAAATTAATTAAAAAAAAGAATTTTGTAAGGTTGCTGAATATAAACATCAATATTCAAAAGTAAACTGTATTATATACAATAGGAAGCTCTGGTTAGAATATGCAATTCAAAAAAACTGACTATTTCTAGTAGCAGCAAAAATATAAAGTACCTAGAAATCAATCTAACAAAAATGTCCTGGCACCTGTATGAAAAATTACAAAATTTTATTGGCAGACATGTAAAGGAAACTCTAAACAGAGTTTTCTATTATTAGTGAGCAGAAAGACTCTCTAAATTGATTAAACTATTTGGAGAAATTATAAAAATCCCTTCTAGGGTTTTTGTGGAATTTGATAAACCAATTCCAAAAATTCATAGGCCCAAGACATAGCTGAGAGACTCCACAGGAAGGATTACAGTTGGTGTTGGAGCAGACTGGGTACTTGCCCTACCGGTTATCAAGATTTAAAAAGGAAGCGATCGTAATAAAGATAATGTGGAATGTATTCAGGTAGAGACGGACAGGTCAGCTGAACAGAATAGCCAGCCTGCAAAGAAATCCACGCAGACATGGAGTACGGGCCGGTGACAGAGTGGGCATTGCAGGCAAACAGATTATTCAACAAAAGGGTATGAAAAATGAACCATCCGTGTAGGAAGAGCAAAATTGCATTCCTGTTGTGAAGCATGTACAAAAGGTAATTCCAGGTGGGTTAAGGGCTTAATTGTGGAAGAGACAACTGTGTTGAACTTTTAGAAAAAAAATATAGGAGACTATTTTTTATGAAGTTGCAGATAAAGACAGATTTCTTAAGTAGATTAAAAAGGGCATACAGCCATAAAGGAGTTTATAAATTCATCTACCGTAGTAAGGACCTCTGTTGTCAACAGAGATCATAAAAAGTGAAAAGCTGCATAAAGTGGGTAAAATACTTAAAAAATAATAATGTTCTGGTAATTAAACTATGTTATGAAACAAAAATAACTAAAAAATGGGTTAAATGCTCATTTAATAAAGAGGGGATGGCATAAATGAAAAATTCCTCTTGAATACATGGACAAGTGCTCAACAGTAATCAGGGAAATAAAAGGAAAAAGCACAATGACATAATTTCACACCTACTAGACTGGGAAAAAATTAAAAAGTCAGGTAATATTAAGTGTTCATTAGGATGCAGCACGATGGGAACTTGTGCCCACTTCCGGGGTTCAGGTAAAACTGGGGCGTTCAGGGGGGTGTGGCCATAGACTAGGCAACCTTCGCAAAAATCACTTAGGCCGTACCTAGCAAAGCTGAACAAGTGCTCGTCCTAACTTGGGGCAATTCTACTTTTAGGTGTGTACCTTAGAGGAAGTTCTACTCATGTGCATTATTAGACCAGTACTTCCCAAACAATGATGGGCACACAGGTGACGCCGGGACTTGTTAAAATGCCCCGGATGATCCAGTAGGTGTGGAACAGGCCTGTGCATCTGCATTTCCAACAAGTTCACAGCTGGTGCTCGTGCTGCTGGTCCTGGGACCCCACTTTGAGTAGTGAGGCCCTGTGTTGCCAATAAAGGCATTGGCAGGGGAATGAGACAAAAATATCACTGAGCATTCCCAGGGCAAGAATTAAGGTTCTCACTGGAACATGCATGAGCCCCAGAAACATAATGTTTAGAGAAAGGAGCAAGTCACGGATGAATATTTGTTTCAGTGAAATAACATTTGAAAACGGACAGAACTCAATAATTTTTGCCATCAGATATTGGTGAACGACAAAAAAAAAAAAGGAATCATTTATTATACAACATTCAGGATGGTGGTTAACTGTCGGGGAATGACTAGGGTGTGGCCAGTATGGACACAAGCATATTCTGAGGTTCTGGTAATGTTCTATTTGTTGACTTGTGTGATGGATGCATGGGTATTAGTTTCATTTCTATTCTAAATGGGTGATAGGTAGTGAACATTTTATAACCGGTGTAACAGAAAACACTCGGCTCCCCATGATTTCTCCCTTTTGGTCTAGCCTGTCCCCGCAGCACGGAGCTGCTTCTGTTTTCGCTTTCCTGGAGGGAACACATCTGGAGCAGGAAAGCCTGCAGGCACATTTCTTTCACCAGCTCTTGGGGCTCAGGGCGTGTGACCGAGACTAGAAACCCATGAACTTGGCTATAAATGCCTTCTTGGTAGATTCCCCTCTCTGGTGGTTGCCACGGTCTCTCCTTGGAGGAAGTAGCAAGTAGCCCATATGACCACAGAGGTGGGTTTATTCTCCAAGTTAGCTGTACCGGGAATTTTCTACCCCAGATTTTCCCATGTCTGTTTCTCAACTGGTTCAAAACCCGCAGGGGGAAAGCTGGTGATTTATTGGCACCCCTGAAACCCCCAACAAGAATGGAGGCTACCAGTTTCACGAGGAGTGGAGACTCAGTCCTTGCTTTCTGGTGAGACTCTGGGGCGGTGGCTGTAATTCAGAGGAATGGCTCCATGTGTACTGCTGGAGGGGCTTGTGACATCTAGTTATCAGGACTTTCAGTCCAAAACTGCACATACGGTGCTGAGCCATCTGACCCTAAGGGACCATGTGAACCAGGACAATGAAACTATCAGCAACCACCACGCTCTGCTGAAGGCACCAGTATTCGGATCTGTTCTGCCTGGGTCATGTGCCAGTGCTCAGCGAGGCACTGTGGCCAATGACGTGTGGGGTTATAGAGTCAGTATGATATAACAATTACATGAAACTAACCATTTCATCACAGAGTAGGGGAGGGTTGGTTCTCCCAAAGGAAGGGATGTTAAGTGGATAAAGAGAAATAGGTACATTGTAGTTACCTGGTGAGCAGAGACCATGTGAGACAGTTTGTATCCTACACAGCGCTTAGGGTACTGTCTTGACGATGATACTAAAAGATATTCTGATTCATTGATGTATTTTTTTTTAACTAATTGAATGATTTGATAATGCAGTTAATTATTTTTCCTTGTACCAGTTTCCCTTTCTTAGCTGTATTCATTCACTCTCATGTTACAATGGGCGTGAAGAGCTATCCAGGACAGAGAGGTTTTTTTTTGGAATATAATGTAGCTAACAGAAATAAATGAGCCTTGTCTGGGAAAGCAGAGTCAAATGCCAATGATGTCTTTTAGCAGCTGTGTATTTTTGTCAAAAGTTATTTAATCTATCCAAGTTTACATTTCCACATTTATAGAGATAGTAATACTCAACATTTGTGTGGTTAGTATGACAAACTGAGAGATAATTTGCATAAAGCAGAAGCATTATATGTTCCAGTTAGGGTTGCTATTGTTCTTTTTATTGTGTGTTCTGCAGTATAAGTTGGGAAGTATAGTCGAGGATATCTTGATTGGTGAATGAAAGTGTATATGGAAACTATAGTGTAGATAACCCATTTGTCAATTTGGTTAATTAGAACTTAAAGCTAAATACTCTTTAAAAGCTTTAATAACCTTTATATTCCATATTGCATTACTTACATAACTCTATAGTACCACAGAAAGCAAGTACTAGATTTGTCCACAAATAAATAGCGTTCTTCTTCTGAATCCTAAAAGAAAATGCAAAATAAACTATGATATATGAAGTTAACTTTGAACCAAATACAAATTTAGATACAGGCATCAAAGTCATGCAGGAACTCAGTTAATTATCTAAGATTAGAGGAAGTATAATGAATAAATTTCAGAATAAAACGAATAAATATTCATATAATACTAGTTCAATTCTTTAGTTACTCCCAGTGATTAAGAATTTATTCTCATGGATGACAAATTTAGATGGCGTATTGTTCCTATTACATTTGACTTTGTGAAATCATGAGAAATATATACGCTTTGCCCCTGGTTCCAGAGTCTTTGACCCTGACTCCTGACACAGCTGCTAAAACCCCTGTAATTTGCTGAGTGTTCCGAGTGTTGGATACAGAGCTCCTGCCACTTTCCTCACTGAAACAGTTCATTTCATTTTCTTGTTTAGTGGTTTACAACCAGAGGTGGCTTTCCTCCCAGAGGTCACTTGGTGATGCCTGGAGGTGTTTTTGCATTCAGAAGTCACACGTCCTTCCTGAAAGGTTGTAAGATCTGATGACACCATACCTAAATGACAAAGGTTATCCTGAACATGCAGGAATTTGTGTGTGCGTATTTTCTTTTTTTTAATTGATAAAAAATGGCTTTATTTTCAGTTTTGGTGGAATAGAGTAAACACTCTATTCATGGTGATACAAAGTTTGATCAAGCAAAACTTTTTAAGATAAGAAAAAGACTCTTACATCACCATTTGCCTTAGCTAAACTGAAATAGAAGAAAAATCAGTAGGAACACCCTCCTGGTTTCCAGCAGACTAAACTTTGGGCTCTGTGTTTTCTTACATAACATAGTTTGTAATGTTTATGTGGGCTTCCAACATGCGACAAGAGGGAAAGAAACCCTTCGCTTCCTCCGAAATTGTGATCACGCAGCTTAAAAAGCCAAATTCAGATAGGTTTCAGTCTATAGGGGTTAAAACATGAATGAATACTCGTCTGGCCTCGCCCATGTCACTCTACCTACTGTTTCCTGAAAATAGAAGTTGTTAACGAGAAAGAAGCCACTAGTCCCAAAGTACAGGCAGACTCGGCCACCTGGGGCTTCTGCGGCCGCAGCGTTACACACTCGTGTGGTGACCTCTGCTGAGGGGTGTGGGGCCGGTGCTTTGTTACCAGTTCATCAAGTGTCACCGTTTTGAAATGCTTTACTGTTTTGGTAAACTAGGGAGGACTCAACATCACTTTCATTTATTAACATTCGCAGCTGCTTTCTCGAAGAAAACATAGTAGGAGTCAAAAAAAAACAAACCTTGTGGAAATGGCTCTGAGTCCTGGGGGTGGTCACAGGAGAATGGCCCTTGGGGTCCCCACGTGAGACCCTCTCAGGTGGGAGCCCTGCTATCATTACGATGGGGACTGGGGCTTCAACACACTAATGAAAAGACTAAGCTAAAATGTATCATTCAATAACTTCTAATTTGCAGAGATGAATCTAAAAATGAATGACAGTGACAGTAATTTTAAAACACTTCTTATTGTCCTGGCTGGTGTGGCTCAGTGGATTGAGCACCGGCCTTCGAAACAAAGACCAAAGGGTCTCTAGTTCGATTCCCAGTCAGGGCACATGCCTGGGTTGCAGGCCAGGTCCCCAGTTGGGGGAGCTCGAGAGGCAACCACACATCGATGTTTCTCTCCCTCTCTTTCTCTAAAAATAAATAAATAAAATCTATAAAAAATAAAATAAATAAATAAAAGTACTTCTTATTTACAGTTACAACTTACACTATTTAAAACAGATTGAAAACACCAGAAGAGGGCAAAATAAAATGTAACATAGATGATAATTCAAGTTTAGCAAGTCTTAATAAGTTCTCATTGAAATCAACTTACTGGGCCTGTAACGATCGGTTTTATAATCTGAATCCCGGGAGAAGGACAACGCAGTTCTGTCTTGGGTGAGCTGGCATTTAAAGAGAACAAAAAAAGGAGATACAGGCAAAGATGCACATGAGGCTAATAGAAATGTTCCTGCTACTCTTTAAGCCTAAAAACTTCAATGGTATGCTAATGAGAAACATAAAAATACAGCAATATTTGATTTCCATCCTATTTTCAAAGTGATTTTGTTTTTCTTTTCACATCGATGTCATGGGAATACATGTACACTCAACCAAAGCCTGGAGTCTGAATGTCCATACTACGTGAATGCTTGGTTACATGTAAATACACGTGTGTAAACCCGTTGACATGCTGCGTGCTTGGTTACATGTAAATACACACATGTAAACCCGCTGACATGCTGAGTGCTTGCTTACATGAAAACACGCTGACATTCACGACAAAAAGGTTACCTTTTATTTTTCACGGAACAGGTTTCCGGCACACTCCACTCAGAAAATGACGTCCCTTCATACTCTAACTGAATCTACAAAATAGGATAAAATAGTTCAAACAAAAAACTTGCTCCAAAATATTCATCTCATTTTTCAGAGGTAGGGTTTGGTTCTCTTGGGTCCTTATTATTTAAAGAAAGACTAGTTAAAATTTGATTTCTTTGAAATTATACAAAGTCATATGACAAAGAAAAAGTAACTTTTCTGAAACACTTGTAGCCTCCCCTCCAAATTATAAGATTTTTACTCTATTTCAAAAATAACATATTAAGTATCCAGGGGGCGACTGGTACTTTAGTAGCTCCTGTGGATTAAACAAACAAACAAACAAGCAAAGATAAATGAGATATAGTCATCTTGTCTTTATCATGACAAAATTTTTTGAATATTAAATAATAAAGCAACACTACTTATTTTTGCTACTTACATATTTAAGGATTATTATTATGTCAGGGGGGATCTCAGGAAGATAAATGAAATGTAGAATATCAAATAAAGATAAAAGAATGACACTGTGCTGTACAACAGAGTATAATTAACTCTGCTCTAAGGTAAAAAAATAATAGACACAGCTTGCAAAAATTAAACACTTACGCTGCTTCTGGTACTGAAAATGCGGTATTCTGGGCTGTTCGTGTAGTATCTGTGGAGGAAAAGGTCAAATGAGAACATGAGCCCTAATTTCCCCCCAGAGAAGAGGGTCTCTGTGTTTGGTCAGAGCCTGCCCGGGCTGCCAAGGGCTTTATGTTTCTGCCCAAGAATCTTCCTGCAAAGCACAGTCAGGGCTGAACCGGAGGATTATCCGGGAACTCTACCCACTACTCAAGGGGGGTCATGGTTGGCTCAGTATCCGAAGACACTGGAATGAGTAGGAATTTTCCTAGACTAATGGTGGGGTTACCTCTCAACAAACCCACTGTAAGACGAAAATACTGTACTTCGAAAATGCATTTAAAATACACCTGACCTGACTTCCGCCAAGATGGAGGCATAGGTGGATACGTCGTGCCTTCTCACACAACCAAGTTTAGAGACAAATAAATATTAGCAACAGAAAAACACAGCCAGAACACGGAAAATTGAACTTTTCGGAAGTCTGTTAACAACAAATTCTTCAGCCTCACCGGTAAGGGGCGAAACCAGCAGCTTGTGGAGCAGGGTTGCACAGGAAAACTCGGTCAGACGGACTAAGGCGCCCGGAATCCAGGCGCGCGGAATCCAGGCGTGCCAAATCCAGGCGCAGAGTTGGACCTAGTGAGCGACCGAGCAAGCGACCAAGCAAGCGACCGCGGGGGAGACAGCGAGAGAGCAGGGCTGTGGGTGGACTGTGGTTGCGAATTTGTGCGCGGATAGACAAGCGAGGGAGTGGGCGACTGGACCGGAACCCAGCGGGTCCCCACAGCAAGCGGCTGGGAGGGCGACGCCATTTCCCCACTCTGACCACGCCCCCACATACAACGTCACAACCCAGCGACCGGGGAGTCCAAGGCGCCGCTTCTCACACTTAAAGGGCCAGAACAGACCAAAATGGCTCAAGAAGATCTCAAAGCCCCAGAGCCTATAAATCTAAGCGATGAAGCAAAACTCTCAGATGCACAGTTTAAAACACTGGTGATCAGGATCCTCACAGAACTGGTTGATTATAGCCACAAATTAGACAGATATATGAAGGTGAAACTAATTGAAATGAATGGAATTGCACAGGACACCAATAGCAATGAAAAGGAAACTGGGACTCAAATCAATGGAGTGGACCAGAAGAAAGCAAATAATGGCCAAACAGAAAAGAGTCAAGAAGCAAGAATTCAAAGAAATGAGGAGAGTCTTAGGAACCTCCACGACATCTTTAAATGCTCCAACATCCGAATTATAGGGGTACCAGAAGGGGGAAAGGCACAGCCACCAGTGGAAAACTTATTTGAACAAATAATAAAGGAGAATTTCCCCAATCCGGCAAAGGAAATAGACTTCCAGGAAATCCAGGAAGCTCAGAGAGTCCCAAAGAAGTTGGACCCAAGAAAGAACACACCAAGGCACATCATCATTATATTAGCCAAAATTAAAATGAAGGAGAGAATCCTAGAAGCAGCAAGAGCTAAGGGGACAGTCACCTACAAAGGAGTCCCCATCAGACTGTCAGCAGATTTCTCAAAAGAGACCTTACAGGCAAGAAGGGGCTGGAAAGAGGTATTCCAAGTCATGAAATCCAAAGACCTACAACCAAGATTGCTCTATCCAGCAAAGCTTTCATTTAGAATGGAAGGACAGATAAAGTACTTCTCAGATAAGATCAAATTCAAGGAGTTCATCATCACCAAGCCCTTATATGAAATGTTAAAGGGACTTATCTAAGAAAAAGAAGTTAAAGAAACATGAACAGTGAAAGGACAGCAAACTCACAGTTATTAACAACCACACCTAAAACAAAAGCAAACTAAGAGGACAGCTAGATCAGGAGTGGAAACATAGAAATGAAGATCTCAAGGAGGGTTAGCAACAGGGGAGTGGGAGGAGGAGAAGGGGAGAGAAGGTACAGAAAATAAGTAGCATAGACAGTAGATAGAAAATAGATGGGGGGGCAAGAATAGCATGGGAAATATAGAATCTAAAGGACTTGAGACACATGGTCATAAACTAAAGGGGGGTAATGGTGGGGATGGGGGGTAGGGTGGAGGGGAATGAAGGGGGGGAATAGAACAACTGTAACAGCATAATCAATAAAAAAATTTAAAAAAAAAACACCTGACCTACCAAAGATCATTGCTCAGGCCAACCAACCTTAAATGTGCTCAGCACACTGATAGTAGCTGACGGTTGGGGAAAATCATCAAACGTAAAGCCTATTTTATAGTAAAGTGTTGAACATCTCATGTAGTTTATCATGCATAGCACTTTCACACCCCCATAAAGTCAAAAAATCATAAGTGGAACCATTGTCTGTCGGGGACTGCATGTAAATACTTTCACATCTTGTTTTTGTTTTAGGATAAAAACTGTTCAAGAATATTGGCCGTTTTGCCTTTCCTTATTAGCAGAATTAAAAGAAAATGAATAAAGATTAAAAATCCCTAAAGCAGTATTGCTTGTTTGAAGCACTGAAGTAAAGAGCAAATTTCTGGGAGTCCTTGTTCATGATCAACTTCCTCTATTATTCAGGGCACTTTAATTTCCCACTGTGTGATCTAAGTAAGCACTGACCACTCTAAATATAACACAACCCACATTGCAAGAGCAAGAAGAAAACAGTGAAATGGACTTTAATAATATATTTTATTGGTGTATGCATTCCCCTGCAATGGCAAAGTTGCGGAATTAAAACAGATTGTGTAGCCTGAAACACTGAAGTTACCATATAGTTTGATGACCTCTGGTGTACGCATAGTTTTTAAACTCCTTGAGTTCACAGGCTGTCCTTAATAATATTAGCCACCAGAATTTATTTTCCCCAGTGTTTGCCACGCATGTACTGAGAGCACATTGGATTCCTGTCTCAGAACCACTCCATGAGGGAGGTTTTCTCATCACCTTTTTAAAAAAGATTTTATTTATTCATTTTTAGACAGAAGGGGAGGGAAGGAGAAAGAGAGAGAGAGAAACATCAATGTGTGGTTGCCTCTCACGTGCCCCCTAACAGGGACCTGGCCTGCAACCCAGGCATGTGCCCTGACTGGGAACTGAACCTGCAGCCCTTTGGTTCAAAGGCCCGTGCTCAGTCCACTGAGCTACACCAGTCAGGGCTCATCTTCTCATAGAGAAGGAAAGGAAGGCTTACAAAGTTCTATTAGAATGCCACATTTTTGCTTTCTCACTACCTCACTCACCTTTCCAACGGCGTCTCACTATTTGACACCTGTGGGTGCCTAGTGAGGTGCCCTGGGTCCCTTTCCTCCGAAGCCTCTTGTGGCTGGATTTATTGTTGGTATTCTTACATTTTGATATTGGAGGGCAATAATTACTGTTATAGAAAACCTCCATTAAATAGAAAATTCGCAGAGTGTGGTTTTTCTGGTTAACCATCCGTATTTTAACCTGCGTCAAAAATCTTTCTAAAATATTTTGATCTGCCTTCCAGTCCAGAAGTTACCTGATACTGAACAAAAATTTCTTAGACCTTTACGTTTTCATTCCTCAAATCAACTCACTTTGTACAGGAATCACACCTCCTTACATGGTATAACGCGCTTTCTCATAAATCATGTAACCAACGACCTAGCAATCCTAACGAAAGGCTCCCCCTCCCCTCTCCAATGTCTGGGGTGGCAGTTTGGGGTTCTCACTTGCCCTGCTCCTCTCCGGCAAAAAAAAAAAAAACGGAGTGTAGTAGGAGGAACCGGCTTTAAGGACTCACAGGAGCTCAGCTGTCAGAGGACAGCGTTGTGAAGTGACCGGGACTCAGCAGCAGCCAAGCCCTGCCAGCGGCCCCTCCTTTTCCGCCCTCATTCATTGAAAACTTTCAGAAGTGGGCGGTGGGGAGCTGGGGCTTGGGTTCAGGGAACTGAGAGCAGAGAGGGTGGTCTGCACGAGCGGTGTTCCTGGGACACTGAGGCGCTGGGTGGGACCCCTGCTCGGCCCCAGGGACGACCCCTCCCGGTCACCCGTCCACGACTGGCGGCGTCTGTACCTCCATATCGCCGAGCCGCAGCAGCTCAGCCAGGATAACAGCACCGCCACTCTCTGGGCTGCCATGGCGGCGCCCAGACCCTCAGCTCAACGGCCCAGGCCTCGCCAGTGCCGGCCTCGCGTTCTCCCCAGGGGGCGCCTGCGGACCCCAGGGCAGGAGGCGCTGCGAGTCACTGCGCTGCTGGACCTGGTGGGGCCAGTTCACCAGATTCCAGCAAAGTGCGCATGCGCCTGCCTGTCTACTCCTGGGAGCCTGGAAGTTGGATGTTGCAGTAGAAAATGAAAATTAAATTTTAAGTAAGGCTGAACCATGCTTTTATTGAAGTGAACTAGCAAAACCACATTGGATAATACTAGTTGACTTAATGAAGATAAAACTTTTCAGTTAGTTTATCTTCTAGCCCAAA